TTTTTTTTGTACTGTCCAAAAAAAACAGTACCGGGAGAACAAACAGGGTTTTTTCCAGCCAAGGTGTTTTTCTTTATATATTTTGTATTAGAAAATTGTCCCTGTTGCCCTGGTGACCGCTTTGAATGTAAAGGGTGTTTAACATCCTGACCTTTAACTTCAGCTTTGCTCTTTCCGTTGACTCCACACACTTTACATGTTACGACTTCACACAAAATCTCACCTTATCTCCATCGCGCTCTTTCACTCCATGTTTCTCTTTTTTTCTTTCTGCTTGTGTCACCTCTCTGAGACAGGAACATTTTTTGAAGGAAAAGAAGAAAGAAGACATTCTCTCTCTCTGTGTGTGTGTGTGTAAATGTTTGTACAGAGTGTTGCTAAGCGTTGCCTTTTCCTCCATCAGCACACATAATTGGGACTTTTAGCTTGAATGGCGGCTTTTGGTCCAATGTTTTTTTTCTTACTCAGTGCGTTTCTAAACTCACAGTCTCGCAGTGTCTGCCACGCTGGGAGAAAACACGAGCGACCGCCGATGTTTGAACGTCCTTTAGAAAGAATTTTCAACACAGTCTCTGGGCAAATAACAGCTGTACATAAATTGATCATCAAGGGTGATTATAATCATCTTTTCATTTGACAGGGGAATTCAGGAGCAGAGTTTGCAGAGCATGTTTGTTTCTGAATCGAACTTCTGCCATTTGCTTTTTAAAATCTCATGAACTGTTTTTAAACATGACACCCTAAATGACTACTGATCTGGACTGCATTAATTGATTACAGTGTTTTAGTCACAAACGCAGTTTTTAATTACTAGTTTCGTGACTGAAACCCATCTGTGGGTGTTTGTATTCATTCCTCACAAAGATCTAAGCGCAGCTGGACTCCCGTGTGTGCGTGTCTCGCGTTGGACATATATACGGCACTGAACTCAAAGTGTGTGACAATCCTTTCTGTCCAACCTTAGATGAACTAGCTGGGTGCTTGTATAATTGATTATTCAATCCTGACCTCTGTGGCGACTGGGAGCTGCTGCAGCGTGTTGCTTTCTGCCAAGAGCAGTCAATGTGGAGCCTGTTCTGCTGCCGCGTGCTGGGCCAGGCCCGAGCCAGGGCCTTTCCTGTGAGCCCTCCCCACCCGCGTGAAGCTGGCGCTGGGACACTGGCCCTTTTGTTGTCCACCGTGGGCCTGGCTCTCCTTGTCTCATTCCCCCTCCATCTCCCCACTTTTCTCCACTCCTCCAAAACCAACCCCCCGCCCCCTCTTTCTTTTCCGAACAAAACATCTCATTGGCTTTGCAAATATGAGATAATTGGAAAAATGGAGTTGGCCAGGCTGAGTCAGAGTGTTTTGGGCAAAAAATAGCATCGCAACGGTGAGGCATAGAGAAACACAGAGTGAGTGATGAAATTGTTTGTGAAGTACGGAGCCCGGGCCGCCCTAAGTTGGACCATGGTGTGTGAAGAATGAAAGTGCGCCTGGTGGTGGCACATCTTGAGCAGTTCTTCCACGCTTTTAGGCCAGGTGGCCGGACATCTTGGCTACGGCTCTGCCCAGCTGCTGGAGTCCTCTGGAGCCAATGAACTTTAATAATGCCCCATAATTCACCTATTATTGTCAGATTAACTTCTCTCCCGTGTTGGCATGGCTGGTGTGGTGGATGGTGAGTTTGTGATCTCATATTCATTTTACAGATGAGTGTGTGCAACTGACACCAAGCGCTTGTTTGTTAGATCTGTCTGCCGAACATCCTGTTCTAGACGCAATCAGAAACATATGACTAGAGATGGATCAGGATGGTTAACTGGTCCAGGGGTTTCCAAAATTGGGTCCAGAGACAATAAAAACCAAATATGCATATTGTTTTATTAAAAAATATTTGTCTAAATATTAATCACCCTTTTTTTATTAATAATACAAATATTTTATTAATGCTATTATTCATATTTTATTTAACTACTGTCATAACTTGCTCACTATTTTTGGCACTATTTTTTTAAGCTGCTTAGGAACAATATTTCAGATTTCAGGCATTACAAGGAAACAGTATCTTTCAATCATGTTATGTCTAATTGAAATATATCTTGGCACACTCGCTCCTTCTTTCAAACACACCCTTGCTGTGTGTTTTTCCAAGTCACACTGTTCTCTTTCCGTTGTACCCCTCAGGCAGTGCTGGTCCCACCAAAAATTTGCTCCCCACCTCGTAAGGGCGCATATGCAGGGTTCCACCCAGCTGCCACAAACAAGACCCCTTTACACTAATGCATACAAGCTGTGCTGCCGTATTGGGAATATACTAATGGAACCAGTCCCAAAGTTTTTGCCCTCTCTCACTTCTTTCTCTCTCTCTCTCTCTCTCTGTTATGCACATATTTTTAATGCTGATAACCTATTCACATAGCAAATATTGGATTTAAATATGCAGTTAATATGTTTATCCTTTATCTTTATAGAACATTTTATAGCTAGAAGTTTGCTCACTCAGTTTTCAGATGGGTTTAATTTAAGTATTGAATGTATTCTGAGCACAATGTGAAACTTTGAAGGAGACATTTGTGATATTAGTGGAGTATTTAAAAAATTTTTTGAGAAAAACTCTGTTCATTTAAAGCCTCAATCCATTCAATTTCATTGCTATCTAGAAGAAACAACTGGGATATTAAAAGTAAATTTAAATGTAAATTTTCAGTTCACTATATTCAAATAGTTTTTATTATTATACTTACATGCTCATATAAAGTGGCAGGTTAGTCTATTCTAGCAATTTCAGCATATGTAGAAGTGTCATATATTTCATAGTGAAAAAAGTGAGAGGTGCTTCTATCAAAGGCCTTCACAAAAGGGCACCGCAACAGTTCTTTTCTTCCCAAACCATAAGAGAGTATGAAGAACAAGATCAAGACAGGAGCTGCCATGAAAGACAGATACATCAGCATATCTGCTTCCTTCTTCGTCCATTTTGCAGTAAACGATTACGCAGATCCCCGCTGCGGGCTGTCACATAAAAGAGGGCTTTCTATTTTTATTAATAGTTAAAGTGAAGGAGCTGTCAGCAAGGACAATAGCGGCCATGTTAATAAATAAAAATAATAACTATTACAGTGCTGTGGTGAGAGAGAGGGAGAAAGTGACATACTGAGGCAGAAAGAGAGAGAGCAAGCAGGGGGGATAGACGGAGTGGCAATTTGTTGAAACCTTTCCTTGTCAAAGCTCTCGGGCTTAAAAGCCTCTGTCATTGTTACACACAGATGCCAGAATAGAAGAGAGAGAGAGAGAGAGAGAGAGAGAGCCGAGGGCTAATAACACCTGTTGTGGTGACAGTGAGACAGCTGTCAGTAGAAACAGCAGCAGTGAAGGTGATTGGCTGAACGTTAAAGGAGTGTGTCCATAAACCAAAGACTGTCTTTTACAGGCCTGAAACTGTCAAACTTTGAAGTCCAGAGGCGAGACCAGGAATGCAGAGGATATTCAGAAATACTCAAGAGACAAGAATGCGCTAAACTTTAAATTGCAGACATGCCACTGAGGAAGTTTGACCATTAGTCAGACATTAAATATTTGGCAAGTCGTCTTCTATTTGGCAAGTCTTCGAGTGTAAGTGCGTGTCGCCCACCTGGGGCCTGTACAGTCTATCAGTCGCAAAGACACAGGTTAGTGCTCCGTGTTTTAACTCCAGCTGAATTAGTAATGGTGCCACCTGGTGTTTTTACTTTGGTGGATTAGTGTTTAAGTGTGCGTGTTTGCTTTTGGAGATGTTAATGTTCATATTCTGAAGGCTTTAGTGGTTAAGATTTAAATGAGAATTTTTTCAAGACACGGTTTATCATATAAAATCATATGGTATTAAACCTTTGACGTTCAAATTGCAAGCATCATGCTTTACTATTTGAGCTACAGGATGCAAAAAAAAAAAAAAAGAATGAAGATGAAGTGGAAAAGAAAAGACTAGTAAATTGAATGTAGAGTTTATGTGTATGTGTATGCTAATGCTTTTGAAGATGTGAATTTCCATATTCATAAGGGTTTAGTGATTAAGATTTAAATGAGTCTGAATACATAAGTTAAATGAGAGAAAGATGTTTTTCAACATACAATTTGTCATATAAAGATACATAGAACTGAACCCATGACCTTGCTGTTGCAAGCGTCATACTTTACTATTTAAGCTACAGGATGTAGAATAACAAAAAAAGGAAAAAAGGAAACAGAAAGGAAAATAAAATTGTAATTGAATGTCAAGTTTATGGTTGTATGTATTTTTGCCTTTGTAGATTTACATTTTAATATTCCGAAGGGTTTAATTAATGATTAAAATGTTATTGAGTCTGAATAAATATGTTTTAAAGATGTTTTTCAAAACGATTTATCATATAAAATAATATGGAATTGAACCCATGACCTTGCTGTTGTTTGTGTGTGTAGTTTCTCAACCTGCTAAATTACTGGCTGCTGTCATTTACCACAAATACACACCTTGTGTTTCTCTCTTCCTCTGGTTTTGTTTCATATCGCAGTTAATTGTTGTGATGGTGATGCTGGTACTGGTGTGTGTGTGCATGTGTTAGAGAGGAATACAGAGGGGGTGTTGAGAGTTGTTGTAATTTTCCTCTCTCTCTCTCTCTCTTGTTTGAGACGTCCGTCCTTGGCAGGTTAGTAATTAGCGTGTGGGGTGGAGGGGTTAGTGGGTCTGTGGGGTGTATTAGAAAAACAAAGCGCACAGCCTCGATAATGTGTCCATTGTACCCGGTGCATTAAGAGCCTCTTTGTGTTAGCTGGAGCATAGGGCTAATGATTGGCTAACAGCAGGTGAGGAAGCCGCTCAACTCTCTCTCTCTGTCTTTCTCTCTCTCCATCCTCTCTTCCTCCTGCCCTACTGTTGGTGCCATTAGAGAGACAGGCCTTTATTACAGCAAATGGACTTTAAATGAGCTATATTGTGATGTTGCCTGCCTGTGGTAATTCTCTCTCTTTCCCTCTCTCTCTATCTGTCTCCTCTCCAGAGGGCCCCAGTATTGAGAGACTGTTGTCTAAGGACTGGAAGGACAAGCTATTGGCCATGGGTTCTGGCAACTTTGGAGAGATCAAAGGTAAAACGAAAGACTTTGTGTCTTCATGTGACCTCAGAGTGTATGCATGTTGTGTTTGACGGTTGATATATCAGTTGTGTCTCTTTTTAGTGGTATTAAACCAAAGTATTTGCTATTTCCATCAGCGATTGGGTTATAAGAGCTGGTTTTTGTGGTTCTAGTTTCGAATTGAACCTATAATCACAGTTATAATTGTTCGTATTAAATGTCACCTTAGACATCTTAAAGCATTCCAAGAGCTCAGGTATGCTAATCCACCTAGCGCTAGCCTCTTCGCCGGCCCTGGTTAATGATCTGCCAGGATGACTTGCTAAGCAACAGCCTCGCTCATGTTAGCACGGTTAATGATACATCCTGTTAGGTCACTCAGCTGTAGCGAGAACACACTCCACTATCACTTTTAACAAGCCTCCATACACCTTCCTCGCACTAGCGGCGTGTTCGCAAGGCTAACTCGAGAGTAAATGTACTTCATTAAGCGGCTCAGAAATATGTAATCAAACGAAGCTTGTTCTCGCTCCTGGAGCAGAAAAGGGAGCGCCATTGATCAAGCCGTCGGTGTGGTAACCCCACTGTGTTGACATTTCAGCAAGAGAAGCATCCCTGCCACGACCACCGATGACTAGCGGTTGGAAAGGGCCCTTGCCACTGTCCCCTCTCTCTCTGTGCATACCCTTTAAGATCAGAAATGGACACACAAATATATATAAACAAGTAGGTTGTTTTAAATTAGGTGTTGTAAGCAGGCTTTTCTTAAATATTACAATAAAATGTCCTGATAGCAAACAAAAAGTCAGAGGGATGATTCACATGTTTTTAGCCAATTAGGAACACTCTCAGCCTGTGAATAATTTTGTATGTTCACGTTAGGCTTTGCCGATACATCTTTGGGAATGGATTTGTGGCTAGAGGGTGTTTTGTTGAATTTAGCAAAATGGTGGAAGTTTTGCTACTAGCAGATATTTTCCCTGAAATTAAACTGAGGTTGATAGTGGATCTCTACACTTAAAGAGGGGTTTTCGCTGTAATACCATAGAAGAACCATTTCAGGTTTGCCAAAGAACCTTTCAGTAAGCAGTTCTTAAAAGAATCATATTTTTTCTTAAAAAGGGAGAACATTTTAATTATGTTTTTTCACTATAAAGAACCTTTTGTCCAATAGAAAGGTTTCATGAATGTTAAAGGTTTCTCATGGAACCATAGATGCCAATACAGAACCTTTATGGGTGGATGGGTGCTGCATAGTGATATGGTGATACGGAAATATATCATGTATTTTCACACAACTGACGCACTGTATTGACCAGCATTCAGAACCATATGTATGCATTTTATAGAACAGATGTAATTAGAATTGTACTTTATGAAGTCGACTCAATATATTGTACAGTAAAGAAACAGTTAACCACATAGGAGATAATTACAGAGCAAAAGAGACAGAATGAGAGAGAAAGAGAGAAGAAAAGATGGAAAGAAAAGTGGTAATGGACAATAAGAGCCCTGGGCTAAGCTCTTTCTCTCCCTCATGTAACACAGCACTGTGCTGCTTTAGGGATTTATCTTTTAAGCCCAGTCATTAATTAGCAGTGAGAGCTGCTTGACAGGTATTACATTGTTACAAATTGGTTAATTACTGTGGTTTGTGACATGAGGCAAGGCAGTAAAGGCAGCCTTAGGATGTTTAGAGAGAGAGGAAACCACTTATTGATCCAAAGCTGAACTTTCAGTAGGCGAGGTAAAAAGCCTTCGGTTGTGATTGATGAGGCTGGTGTGTTTTCTTATGTGTGTGTATAAACACTTTCTGTCAACTCTAGTCTTAGGGCATCTAGAGTATATTGTGTCAGAGGTCCATTCACATTTTAATGCGTGAATCTTACCGACTGTGTTAGGAGCGTACTACAAAGCTACAAATGGTTCTAGAGTAAACTAGTTGGTAAGCAGTCTGAATGACTAGTTGGTAAACCCATATACTACACATAAGGTTTTTGTTTGCAATAATAGCTGGAAATTATACTTTATCTCTGTGACGAGAGGGGCGGGGCCGAGAGCCGTGGGAACGGAGCGAGGCCGGTGGAGTAATTGCTAATGCGCGACACCTGCGCCACTCACCGGTCTCGAGTCTCACAGAGGAGCTCCGGAAGGATAAAAAGGAGGAGGGACGACAGTGAAAGACGAGAGAGGACCAGGCCTGGAGTTTATTTTGTGTTTTGGTTTTGTTTGTGGTTTTGCGTTTGGTTATTTTATTATTAAAATCTTTAATGTTCGCCGGTTCCCGCCTCCTTCTTCCCGATCTACAAACTACGTTACAATCTCCATTAATGCTGTGAATTCATGCACACATTTTTGTTGGAAAACAATGTCATACAATGCATTATTATTTTGATTCTAAAATCTGAATGAAAGTTTTTTTAAAAATCTAATATTTAAATATTTTAAATACTTCAATTTAAATATTTTTTTAAAAAAAAGGAAAGAAAAATATCTAGCGATTCCATCCCTAGTATGAGCAACAGGGTCTCGGCAAGAAAGCGTGAAAGAAAGATCGCTTTGATCCCTCTTTTCTCAGGAAGACTCGTCACTTTTCACACAAGGCCCTCCCTGGTCCCGGGCCGGCTCAGATGCACACCCTCTTGTGAAAGTTCAGTCTGGGAGCTGTTAAGGGGAGCTGCAGGTTTATTTTTTCAACTGGCCGCCTGTGATAGTTGCCTTTATTGTGCATTGTTGAGTCTGTGTGTGTGTGTGTTTGTGAAGGGGTTACAAATGGAGCCTACTCTCACCTTCCTGCCAGGGCAAAGGGTCAGGTCAGCTGCTACGACTCCCTTCTTTCTCTTGCTTTCTTCATCATCTGTTTTTCCCTGGTGAGGAATGTGGCCCCTCAGAATGTAGAGACTGAGAACAATGGGGGATTGTGGGGCCGTGCAGACGCGTGTCTGTGTGTGCGTGTGTTTTAACAGATATATGACCTCAGACGCACAATTGCACACACATGAACTCATTAACAGACATGTGCTCATTTGGACATTTGAACGCTTTAGGGGTTTAGCACACACAGAAACACACACACATTGTTTGATTGGTGATAGTCTGGGCTAATACCGCAGTGCAATGACATCCTGTCGAGTGATTTAGTCTTCCCCTTCTGCCGTCTGCTCTGGGGCTGCTTGTATGTCAGAGCGTTCTCAGCTTTAGCCGAGGTCGGAGGTCAGCTCATGCTAAATGTGTAGCGGCAGCAAGGTAAACACCAGGGCGATAGCAAATCTCAGGAGGAGCACATCTGCGTACAAGGCTTCCTCGACTAGTTCTTTGACCCTTGGCCTGTGCCCTTTAACCCCTGCAGGCACCCCAGACAGCCTGGCGGAGAAAGAGCGCCAGCTGATGGGGATGATCACGCAGCTCAGCAGTCTCAGAGAGCAGCTACTGGCCGCCCATGAGGAGCAGAAAAAACTGGCCGCTTCGCAGATCGAAAAACAGCGCCAGCAAATGGAGTTAGCGAAACAGCAACAGGACCAGGTTAGCCCTTATTCACCATGTTTTGCCATGCATGTGCTATGTGTTGCTTTAGTTATGCACATTCCATCAGTTATTTTACATCTGATCCTAACTAGTGGTTTTTCCAATGGCTGAAGCCAACAACAATATCTGGAGGGCAGGATAGGCTGACAAAATATTGATATATATGAAGAAAGTTTATTGATAACAAATGAAGTTTACACACAAATATAGAAATTAAATAAACTCTTATTTTACACAATATGTACTCCGACCTGGTCATCTACTGCAATTTCTAACCAGGGATCATGCAGTAAAGCGACAAGCTTGGTGTTACACACAATGAAATGTCATTGGTCAAAATTTAGATTCAGTGGGTCTTCAATATATTTTGGTCACATTACCGCAAAAATTTCTACAGTCGGACGGACCCAGTGACTGTTTACAATCATTGGACAGACTGAAGGTTTTTTTCCCACTGTAGTTACTGCATCATCAGAGACAGAATTGCAGATAGCAGAATACAGGTCGAACTAGCTAGCTGACCAGCCTACTAGCTACTTTAAATGGGTTAATGCAAGTTTACTGAAAAATGGCACAAGAATTTTACTTGCCCAACAGGACAAATAGCCTGATTAAAACTTAGGTGACCAAAAAATAACTAGTGACGCATCGAAACACGAGAATGATTCTTTTGATTTTATTACATTCAGCTTAAACAGCAATTGATAATGGATAGTGTGTTTCTGGTATCAATGTCGCGCAGTAGAGGCTCGTGCTGCCTGTCTCTGTGAGAGACTTTCATGGAGAAATCAAATCAAATGAGCGTAACGGCACACATAAAGAAACTCACATACTGAGGTAAAAATTCAAAATGTTTAGTTTATTTATAACATGACCTGTATATTAGGCTGGTTCTTGATTCTCTTGACCCTGATTGTACTTGTTTCTTAAGGGGGGCATTTACATAAGTTTTTGTGTTTATAAATGGGTCTTTGTTGAAGGCTGTTTTCCGAAACTGTCATGATGTTAATTAGAGCACCACTGCTAAAATATTCAAACATAACCAAATTAGCAAAAGATAAACTAGCCAGCTTCAATAATAATATAGTTTGCTGTTGGATGACCAGTAAATTAATCCACCGTTGTGACCCATTCCTTCCTATCATGTCTGATTAGGACACAGTGTTTTTGTGATGAACATTTAAATAGTGCAGAACACAGAACAGTGTTATCAGTGAGTGAGTGAGTGTGTGCGTGTGTGTGTGTGTGTGAAGGAGAGGTATGGGTGTGTAACATACTATCGTTCTCCATTTTGAACCACATTCAAAAAGAAACCTTCTGTTCTCTCCATCCCCCTATAAGTGTGTGTGTAACGTTCAGGTCCCCTCCAGCACGCAGGCAGGAGACTAAAGGTGTTTGCATACAGAAAAGTGTGCTTTAGCTTTGTTGTGTGTATAGTTGCTTCTGGGGAGCTCAGTTTTACAAAAGAAAAACAGATCTGTATTAACACATATAGTAACACACCCCTTTACACACAACGCTCCAGGACTGAGTGCCACTCCTTGGTAAATATGTATGAAATACAAAAGCACACCCAAGAGCTTCAAACACACTGTTTACCGTCACCATACAAGCATGTGACCCTCATCTGCACAAATAATGTCCTCTCTTGTTGGAAAAGAGTTTGACATATGTGACAGTTTGACGTGTTCTGTACACAGATTGCACGACAACAGCAGCAACTTCTGCAGCAACAACACAAAATCAACCTCCTGCAGCAACAGATCCAGGTGAGTCTTCATATAGATGTGTGTCCACTTGTAGTCTTGTATACATGTTTTGCGTTTATGGCTTTGAAAAGGTATGTTTGTGAGATGTCACAATTCGAGTGACTTGTCACCATGACCGTGGGGTTTCATGACAATCAAACGTTCTAGTCCACCAATCAACAATCAACCCCCCTCAACCAATCATAAACGAGCATTAGCGCAGATATCCAGAATCCATTCTCATAGTCCTTTTGTAGAACAATCAAAATGTAACTACACAAACAAAGACAAAGCAACTTTATGATGAACTACTGTCCCTCTAATTTGAAGGCAATCCGTAATGTATTATAACAACCGCAGTAGAAAAAAATCATCCAAGATAACTGACAGATTTAAGAAACTTTGATTAAAATATAATCATAATTAAGCAAAAGTTTCAATAAAAATGTCTAATATTAAAAACTTTGTGCAAGCTGTTGGGAAACAATTCTCCCATTCACTTAGAATAGCATAGGTGTGAATTTTAACAACAAAAATATTTTGAACAAAGATTTTAGGTTAAATTTATATAAATTCATACAATTTTTAAAAGTCAACATTCTATATAGTGTTTCAAATTATAGGTCATAGCTACCTTTATTGTAATTCTAAAAGAATGTGATAACTGGCTTTACATGGATCATAGCTTGTGACAATGCAGGACAAAACACTTGAAATGACCTTCCCAAAAGTATTAGATGTCAGCTACTTGTTTTTGTGTGGTCTACAAAGTAGCTGCCTATGAAGAGCAAATCACATTTCAAATCACTTATGAGATTCCATTTTGGTTAATATGCTACCTATATTGGCAGTATACAGGAAGCTCAATAAGTTTTTAAAAAATAGTGTGTATTTAGCACTCATGCAAACTATGATTTAAATAAATCTTTTAAATAAATGTGTAGGTAATGCCCTAATGGCTGGTAAGGTAGCTTTCAGAAAACTAAACACAGACACTTTGATGGGTTTGTACCAGCTGACTTATACATAGGGCAGAGAGACACGGGCAGAGAGACACTGGCCTGCTTTGTATGTGCAGGTGTGAAGCGAATAAAGGCTTTGTGTGCAAGAGGAGATGAGATGAGTCTAATTTGGTTGATAAAATGAGACTTAGCCTTGAGAGGGACTCCGGCAGTTTTGGCCAGGAAGCCACATCACACTGAGACTATTCACACACACACACACACACACACAAACACACACGCACACAGAGATCACTCCCGTCCACTGGACCCCTGCCATGCTCTAAATGTGTGTGTGTGTGTGTGTGTGTGTGTGTTGCAGCTGTGTTTGTTTGTGTGTACATGTTCATACTACACAGTTTAGCCTGAACGTGTATGTGAGACTTATCTGTGTCTATTTCAAAATCCGCATCAGCTCATGTCTGTATGTGTGTCAGTAGTAGCTGTGTGTGCGTCAGTCCCCAAAACACGTCCGCTTGGGTTTCTCTAGCCCCGCTCGTCGCTCACAGAAACAAAGCTTCTTTTTCCCATGACTTTGCAACCTTTTCCCAAACAAGCACTTCTCCTTTCAGCCCAGTGGAACAATAGTTTCTCACAGTCAACACGGAGGAGGAGGAGGGGGCGAGAGGAGGAGACCCTTGTTATGGGCCAATCATATATTAGCCCTAATTCACCTCCTTAAAAACATACATTTGACTTGTGTCTAGCACACAGGCCGCTAACATAGTCTGAGTAAACACTTGTGTCAGAGACAAATATAGCAGTCCTGAACTTTTAGAGTATGTTCAGAGTTTAATACAAAATGTTACTGAGGTCAAAAGCCAGATTCCACTTCCAAAAGAAGGAAAATAAGCTTTAAAGTCAACATGAAATAAAAATCAACCCTATTTACCTTTTTAATACATGTTCCTGGTCTCACTTACATGTTATTTGAAACAACAACAAAATAAAAGTTTTTTTTCTTTTCCTTTTTAGCTGACATCACCTTTTTAGCATCACTTTTTTGCAGTCAAATCGCAATCCAACCCTTATCCTCATCAATCGGTTTTCCTCAGATATGAGTCACATTAATGAAGTCAAATGGATTTTCAATGCTGTTTCACGTTGACTTTAAAGTGAAGGGCCTGTAGAACCTGAACTCCTTGAAGAGTTACTTCTCTCCTGAAAGACGCACATAGTTAACACATATATCCCTCTCAGTGTGGGGCCACTTCTTTAGGCTCTTGGGGGTAACATGCATACACACTCTTTCATTCTTATTAAAGCTGTCTCCACTCAGGACCCCTCGCGGGTCCCTCGCAGGACCCCTGACGGTTATCCAACCAGAAACACAGGCTCTTGGATGAAAGAAAACACCTGCCGAGAAGCTTGAGGCACACATGTAGAAGCATGAGGAATGAAATGCAGGATACATATAATGCATTTCCATGCTTAACAAGAGGCGTAATGTTGAGAAACACCTGTGGGCGCTGTGGCTGAGAGCTGCCCACTGGTACAACCTCCTCCTGAGCTCCGCTGTACTGTAACACTTTCCCGCTGTCTGTTTGTTTTTCTCTCATTAGCAGCCTACTTTCAGCACACCTCCTCCGGCTCTGCAGGGCGTCGTGCTGGTGTTAGAAAATTTCCGCTACCCAGCACAGGGGCCGAGGTGAGGCTCCTCCGCTGTCAAAGTGGCAGTTAACATGAGTAGCCAGACCTCCCATGAGGAGCTGTTTACGCTGGCTAATTTGACGTAGATCGTCGGCCATTTAGCACAATGGCATTAGCCGCGGCTAAAGAAACAAGCACTGTTGTCGCATGTTTTAGCTAACTAACTAGTTTAAGTCTTCAGACACGGTGGCGACAGAAACCGGTGGCTGGTTATAAAACACATATTAGAGTCAACCTACATTTCGGGAAAACTAACCTAATAAAGAGCTTCCACGGCAGTAGCTTATACATGTCAAACACAGCATGATTGCTTTCTAACTCAATCAGACTCATTTGCTGAGCGTCAGTGCCTCCTTGAGATTGTAAATCCATTTTCCCATGGAATGAGAGTTTAAAGAAGGTTGAAGAGCAAAAAAAGAGAACAGAAGCGTTAGCGCATCAGAGTTAGACCAGGTCCTGTGCATAAGAGCGGCTAACCCAATTGGCTGTGTAATTGTTTAATTTGTCTCATTACACCTAAATGAATGTAATTGGTGTTTTTCCTGCATGAAGTAGCCGCACTGGTTCTGTGAACTGGGCTTTGTGCAGCACTGCGGATGACGGTGGGGGAGTCTCCCAACACATGTTCCCAATTGATATAAGCACTCACTTTATATTATTAAGAATATTTCAGGCGGCATTTTAAGAGTTTCTAAAGATGAAGTATGTAATTTCTGTATGTAATCAACTTACAAATTACTTAAAGTTGATTCTGCATGTTTCTTTGAAATTGAAGTAACAACATTGCATGTTCAACCTATATCTTTGTGGTGTCTCTAAGTTGACCTTAATAGATTGACTCCAGCTATACAATGACATTTTGGCATAGTGTAAGCTTTACACCAGATGATTGGACTTCATTTCAATGAAGAAAAGGTAACCCTGTACTCCTCCGCACAATTTAAGTAGCAGTGGACAGAAAATAAAGAATATTTGTGTGTCTGTGTGCATGTTCGGATTGTATATATGTTTAGTTTTCCTGGAAAGAAAACAGCAAGGAAAACCGACAAGGAGAATAATGTACCAGACAGACATGTCTAACATGCGCATTCAACTCTTATTTGTAAGAAAAGATTTGGGCCAGAGGATCGACAAGACATTGAGCGAGAGAGAGAATGATGAGGGAAATTCAACCTTAAAAGAAGGCATGCACAGAAAATTCTCCAAAGTGCTACATGTTCAACAAGGAAGCCAAAAGGAGAGAAATTAACAGATACAAAGTGTTATACATGTCCATTCCACCTGTATTTCCTCTCCAAGTGCAGAACAACTGTGTGTTACCTAAGTGACTGTCCCTGAGCAGCATATAACAGTCTGGTGTGTGCCCGTGTATGCGTGTCTTCGTGTGTTTGAGTGTGTGGGGAAGGCTTCTCTCAGCCCGGTGGTTGGCAGCTAATGGGAGCTATTTGAGGAAGGACACACAGGCAGAGGAGCAGATGGGCGCAGCGTTATGCCCACCTACAGCGGGCGGCTGACGCACCTCCTGCACTCACACCTAATGGGGGCCTAATAAAAGGCTGGCTGTGCAGACACAGGCTCGCCACTCAATTTCATTAGCCGCTAATCAACCAAAGGTGCCCTTGGCTCACGGAAAAGGACCGTTCACTGGAAAAAAATGAGAGGCATATTTGGAAAAAAAAGAACAAAGGGCATGAGTGAGAGAATGGACATGCATTTGCAATTGGAAAGAGCAAGGTTGTTGTTTTGGTGGGGTTTGAAAATGCCACATTTGTCTGGAAGCCGTGATCAGGCATGGTTAAGAGAGATCAAGCATTAGTCATGTGACCTCAATGCAACTCTTTATTGGTCTAGACTTCAATCAGGTTCTAACTGTGATGTTTTTTCGTAGAATATTTTACTTTTAAAGGTTATATATAAATACAAACCTACTGTAAGAGCCGAGATTGTCTAATGATACGAGACTGTGTAGCCACAAGTCAGCGTTTTGATTTTATTTATTTTTTTTCCAAAATTTCTACTCGATAACTACACTACACTACACATAATCCTGAGTGAGCCAAGATTCAATCCAACAATAAGATCAATCATTGTTACGGTGGAGAACTGTGACAGCAAACTCCTGTAAAGCATTGTGAATGATTTAATCAAGCAAACATTCCTCAGGGAACTTTATTGCAAAAAATATTTTCTGCATATAATAAATTAGTACAACACTATTTTAATACTGTAATGTAGTTTTTCATTTGATAATTTCCTTTTTTAAATACTTTTAATACTTTTTTTTTTAAACTTCATACAAATTAAAATTTATAATTTTGCAATTCATCTCAGAGCTTGTTGGTTTGGTTGAAATCCCAATGGAGGAAGTGAATGGGAAAAATGCTTCCAGACCCAAAGCTGCTATATTAAGGCCCTGATAACACACCCTAAAGTTACATCCCACAGTTGTTATGAAGTAACACTCTCATGAACATAAAACAACATTGACAGCTTCCTTTTTCAGCCATCAATGTTTAACCAGGTATATAATAAGCCGAGACACTTAATAAAGAGACTCAGGAAGTAGATCCATGTATGCAAAAGCAGATTGTTCGCACGTATTTGTTTGAGCGTGTGCACAATTTCTATCATATCCACCAGGGACAGTCCTTTCGTACTGACGCCTGCACCAGACTGGCAATCATCGCAGGCACTCTGTAAAAGTTAATGGCTTATGCCCACGTCCACGGGGCTAATATTATGTGCCAGTCTGCAAGTACAGTGTGTGTGTGTTAATGCTGCTATCCAGGCGCAAATTAATTATTAGTTATATGGCTATGTGTCCCCTCTTCAGCGCGAGGTCACTGAGGCCCGCCTTTAATTGCCGGAGCATATGGCTGGAAACAGATTTTAGCGGTGGGACTCGTTCTTAACCACCGTTCTTGCGCGCATTCTCAGATGTGAGCCATATTGTCAATGCTGGCAGCTATTGTTTCACTCATTTACTTCTTAGAGCAAATTACTCCCTAATAATAGCTCTACCTTGAGTTTTTCTCTCCTCCGTGCCAGCAAACCTGTTCACACTGCATATGTTAATTATCTGCACATCTTCATTATGTTCAAAAAGCTTTAGGTTCAAGCTGTGCCGCCTGGCGAGAGGCTCTGACTCAGTTTGGTGCCAACTTTCCACTTTTTCCCTTTCCGTTTGTTTCTTTCAGCATTTTTTTTTCTTTCTTGCTCTCTTTCACTCTTGAGCTCTCTCTATTATCATATCAACTATGAAAGTTGCAAAGTTAGCCACTCTCTTGTTATCCTTGACAGGTTTTTTTCCCTTTTGCCATCAATTTTTCTTAAGGCTGATTAGGCTGGGTTTTTTAAGGTTCTATTTTTTGTATGTTTTATGTATAAATAGATAAACAATTGTTATGTATCTTTTATATATACTTTTTTTGATTGTGGAACTGGTCCATAGGACCAGTCACAGAGGGCATTTTAGTCTCATTTGACATTTGTCAGTTGTAAAACCCATTCAGACCAAAGGACAGATTCCTCTGCTTTCTAAAAGTTTTTAAAAGCTTTTCAAGTAAGCCGTTCTTCCGACCAGAGATTTCAAGGAGCCAATATGGAATTCCTTAGCCAGCTGTTGGCTGATTAATAGAGCTTTATAGAGCTTGCAGCTGGAGTTGACACTTTTGTCGTAAGCTTTCTGGAATATTCCACAGTTTTCGTGTAAGTTATGACAGTGACAAAACTTCTATTATTGTTTAGGTGCAACAGAGTGTTTCCCTAAACTATTACTAGTTTAACAGCAACCCATCCAATCCCTACAGCTGAGGTACATTGTTCCAGTCCAAGATTATTCTTCATAAGTCTTCTTTGTTTCGCCCTCTACTTTTAAACACGTCATGCGTTTCTGGTTCCAGCCAATGTGAGAGATGCTTTGCAGGTAATGTTAACCATTCAAGGCCTTCAATTTAAATCTCCGTTGAAAGCAACTGTGAAGTTTAGTCCTATTGTTCTGTAATTCATGATACATGTCAACTGGATGCATCAAACTGCATTAACTGGCCTGAAAATGTCAATATCAGCCTCACCTACTCTGCGTGGGTAATGCTATTTGCTACGTTGATTGAATAGAGAACAGCATGACGGTGTGTTCGAACGCTTTGAGGAGATCCACAAGCCTCTAATTCCATATGCACCCACACACACTTGCTTACATGTCTATGCGTTTAAGAGAAGAGCGTGTGCTTATAATTTGCCACAAAAACACTCCTTGCTCAAAACCACCGGAGAACACAAACACACGTGTGCGCATTGGCTAGCACAAGCTATTGTGACCACAGAGCTGTAGCTCGCAGTGACAAGAACACAGGCAGAACCAGAGAAGCATATGTTCAATTAGGACTGGAAGTTAGAGCCGCACCAGCCTGTGGGGGGTCCTGTCGAAATGCAACAATAAAACACCACTGCCTCCTGATCTGGGAACAGGAGGCGTGCAGTTTGTGTTTAACCAAAATGGAGGAAAGATTGCTCTGTGGTTGTCATTCAAAAACCCTCAGCCTCTGTTCATCTTAACATGTGACTGTTGTGATAAAGCGCCTCCACTTCTCTCAGAGCATGTCATTTTCATATATACTGTATTGTCACTTTTGGAGCTTTTGTGTTTTTCTCGTCAGTAGAACCATCTGTCCTCTTCTTCTTCTTTGGGCCTGTGTGTCTCAAGACTCTCCCTTTGCCAAAGTCTCTGGCTTGTGTTTTTTTTCTCTTTCCTCTTTTTAATCCTGGAAACCTTGTGAAGTGGTGTGGCGAGTTGCAGAGCATGGTCCTCTGTAGAAATGGAGGCCAGCTGTTGCCAGAGCGTGAAGAAGCTCCTTCAAATTACAATAATCAAGGGGACCAACTGTCCCAAGAGCCACCGGTCCACACCTCACTTGTCCTCAGGTCACAGTTGCTGGACAAGCACAAGTGTTTAAACTCGCCCTAGGTGTAAACTGGCTAGTAAGGGGCATAGTGTAACCAGACAAAGTGTGGTCTGCCTTGCAACTTATTCTAGCCAGAAAACATCCATTTAGACAGGAAGTCTAATTGACATGTAAAGCAACCTACCACAAGTCGTTCTGCATTTATAAACCGTTTAAGCCAATTCCTGTCCAATGTGGCATCAGATGGTCAATAATCAAACTGTGTGGTCTGAAGGACTTTGGTTGATCATATTTCTTCATAGTTAACCCGTTTTGGCTAGACTCTTTGTTTGTGACAAACATCTTAATTGTTTTCTTTCTATCTCTTCAGCAGGTCCAGGGTCAGTTGCCTCCACTGATGATACCCGTGTTCCCTCCAGATCAGAGAACTCTGGTGGCCGCTGCAGCACAACAAGGATTTCTACTTCCTCCAGGGTTCAACTACAAACCAGGATGCAGTGAGTATTAAAGCAGCATTTCAGTGATGGGTTGTAAAATTAAAGACTTCAGTCCAGTTTATTGTTCACACTAGAGATTTCAAACCAGATTGCTGAAAGCGGAGTCTTCAACCCAATGTTGGGCAGCATCTCCCTCCTGTCTGGTGTGTTATTAAGATCAGCCAACACCGATGCCCGTCATCTCCCGCACATGACAGACTCTCAGACTAGACAAACTCACTTGCTTTTGTGTCTCTGTATTTCTTGTTCAAAAGTAGGAACAGGAAAAAAAAGAAAACTTCCTCTGGGGTTTGTGTTTTTGGCCGTAGCAGTCCAACTGTGAAGCAATGTGTTGTTTACCGCGAGAAACGAGGCGGCAAGTGCCAGCAGCGCAGCAGCAGAACGCTCGCGCTCTCACGGGGGGGTAGAGTGACCTGCCCCAGGTTTCTTCATATTAACACGGGCGACCGCCAGAACACACGTCCAATACGCCTCGCACACGCCTCCGACTCCTCTCCAACTGTACGCGTGCACACACACATCGCATAGATTGCACACTCATACACACTCATAAACGTACATCTCCCTTGTGAGACGGACCGGCCCGCATCTCCAGCTCCGCCCACTGCACTTCACAGTTTCCCAAACAAGTCCCCCCTCCTTTTTCCTCCTCCTGAAGGTCCCCCTCTCTCCCAACCATACACCCTCTATTTCAATTACAGCCAGCAGCACCATCAAACCCTGCCCAAAATTTCAATTACGCATGTCATTTAGTTACCAATACAGTGCCTGCTCATGAGGGAGGAAGCCGTCGTTTGAACTCCTTAAAACCAGAGCGGAAAAAAGGGGGATGAAATCCCTCCGGTCGCAGGGTCTGGACTAAGGGGATGCTGGTTCCCACCCATTGCTCCCCGGAGCCAGGCCACAGAGCTCTTTCAGTCAGTCTGAAGATGCTGCCTTCTCGCCAACAGCAACATGATTGCTTTCCTTTAGTTTTGCTCTTTTGTTACAGCTGTACCCGGGAGAGACATAAAATTGTTGGAATATTTGTGTTTGTTTAGGGACTGAGAAAAAAAGACAAAACACACACATCTTCCCAGAATACATCCTTGAACCGGGTCCAGGGCAATCTCTAACCTAGCGGATGAGTATTTTGGGGGGGGAGGGAAGCAGTGTATGGGAAAAAAGTTTTGGACCCACTGATAGGAGCGTCTGGTTTATTGCTTACTGAGACAAGCTCTGACTTCCTCAACAAACCCCCTTGTACAGATACTCTACAGCCCATGGTTGCATCCAAAAGTGCTGCCCAATCAACAAGTGCATTTACATGCAGTTTAAAAGTTACATTTCAGTTGGATTAAAGTAGAAATGCAGTAATTAAATTTAGTAGGCAAGATGCCTAGTAAGTCTTTGCCTAGTAAGTAATTAATTTTAATTTACTTCCATCAGATGCCATTTTTATTCTTTCCACGAGCTGCCAAACTGCATGCACAGAATGGTGGTATATCATAGGCGAAGGGAACATCAATACTGGCTTCAAAACATGACCAGACACACACTCCAAAAATCGTTGATTCTTCAAGAATAACAGAATTATGCTGTCACTTGTATCTGATATACTTTAAAGACGGTTTATCTGGACATTGGGCAGATGCATCTTCTCCCCTTCTTTCTCAGAGCGCCTCTTCCAACCTCCCCTCCCTTTTCAACCAGCATCATTCCATTGTTCATCACACTTTGAACTCAAAAAACTGCAGCACAGATTTGAGGGCACACTCGTGGTTTCTCATGTAACAGGCTTTTTCAGTGTGATGCTGATAACCCCCCTGCCTCCGCTAGCCGAACTGGACTGACCTTTACCTCACGGTCGTGTAATTATAAAGCCCATATCAGCAGGTGGACGCTAATAACTCTCGCTATTCACTCCTCATGTTCTGATTCATCTCTCCAATGCAGAGGCTCTTGTGCATGGCCCGAGGAGACGGGGCGCTGACGTTACCTCGTTAATTACCATCCTCTCCTTATCATGCCTTAGCCTTCAACTGCTATTGTGCTCAGGGTATTAGAGCTGCAGCCACACAATCAGCCTTTCATTAGAATGGAGGGGGAGACTTCACAATGGAGGTCTTTACCGACAGAAGAGAAAGCAGTGAATCTGTCGCTCCATTGAAGGAGAGGAGAGGGGGATGGGGCCCAGACCCTGTGCATAAGTGTGAGGAGATGAAAGGGATGGGTGATGTGTAAAAAAAAATCTAAAGATACTGACATACCTATAATGATCTCTTCCTCAGGTGACCCTTACCCTTTACAACTAATCCCTACGACTATGGCAGCCGCTGCTGCGGCGACGCCTGGCCTCGGCCCTCTTCAGCTACAGGTAACGTCCATCTTGTGGTTTTGTTTATTTCTGCATGTTCCTGTCTGTTTCCTTTTGCTGTGGCAACTCTGTGTGCGTTTTTCCCAACCTTTCAAACAAAATCTCTTTTTCTTCCCTCGTTTTTTTCCCCCCTTTTTTTGTTTTGTGATCCCGATAGAGAACAACAATGCCCACTGTTCTCCTCAACTATTTCCCTCATGCCAACTGCAAGTTGCCATAGAAATGGGCCTTTGTGAGGGGCCGGAGCCCAGAAAGAGAATGCCGCACTGCTGGCTCTGGGGTGCTGATATTGTTCACTGTGGAGTGAAGGGTACCATAGAAACTGTTTTTAAGGGGGACAGAGCACAGAGGGACACTGAACAGAAAGCAAACATAAAAAGATATTATGGGCAGTCTGAATAGAGTCAAACCCTAATGCAGCCTCACTGTGCTGCTCTGAAATGGAAAACGCAGTAAACATGCATCTCCACGTCTGTCCTTTATTCTCTTCCTCCCTAGTTTGCTCTTTGGCAGGAGGAGAAGAGAGGGGTGAAGAGCATAAATCACCCAGATGAGGGGGAATAGAGGTGCACATCTGCTACGATACTGTGTTTGTGTGAGAATATTGTATAACGATTCACTTTGGCCCAGGATGGACGTGCTGCATTGAACCCCTTGTCACCAGGTGTTTGAGATTCATTAACCTGGGGGCCGACAGGGTTTGGGGCCAGCCCTTCCTCTCTGTTACCTCCCTCAGGCATTAAAGAGCCTGGCTAAGAGGCCAAACTCACCCTCCCACCATTAGCCAAAATAGATGCACATTAGAGTGAATTTTAAAAGGGCATTGCACATACGTACACATGCAAAGATACACACCTGCACATCTGTATCACAGATTAAACATATGTAAGAGGTATAAATGGCTCTCACACATACGCGCTTGCACCGGAACAGGTGGTATTCCCAGGTGCCCTCTGGATAACAGGTAATAAAACAGGATATTTTTTCTGTTTGTTTTTTTCAGCCCTCGCTATCTGTGCACTCACCCCGCTGTGCTCCGTATGACTGGCTTACTGCGAGAATCTTGTCCCGTCTGATTTGATCTGCTTCAGAGCTTGTATCCATATGTTCCTTCATGTTAAGATTCAAAAAATCCCTGATTGAACAGCTTTGTCAGGCGCAATTGGATTTCACCAGAAAAACAACTGGGAAAAAAAGAAACAACATCCAATGCCACTGTTCTCTCATTCCATCCTCAAATCTCTCTTGCAACACACACACTCACAGAGAGAGAGATTACGGCTTTATCACAAAGAAAATTATTTACTAAGGCTAAACTAAATACAGATGTTTCAGACAGAAGCACGTTGGATTTCCTCTGGGACAATTGGCGTGTCTGCGCGTCTCATCTTCAGACCTCCCAATTCGATGAGAGGCCAAAATATTTGCTTTGGTCACTCCACAAGTCACTGTTTACTGGCTTTCGCATTCAACCCGATGTGCTCACACTTTCAATGTGGGTACAAATCTGGCTTGCAATTCCTTACCCCTCTTCTCAATGCACTTTCTGTCCTCTCAACTGTATTGTACTTAATTTTAACACATTGCAATTTGCCTCTTGCATTCTATGTAGTGTGCATGTCCAAAGTGTTTAGAGAAATTATCTTTAGGTTATATGTTTCAACACACACACCTGCAATCGCCAAATGGACAGAGTCACATCTGTGTGAGACTGCTCACCTACACACTGGGCATTAAACAAGACCTTTAAGTGTGTGCGTCTGAGCTAGAGGCAGTCATTGCACCAGGGGTCGCTATCTTTAAAGTGTTTGCCATTAGTCACTGCAGCGGTCTTTAAACCTGGCCACAAAAACACTTTTCACAACTGCGGCCACAGTTCACACTGACCTAATATTCTATAACCAGCTAAATTAACCTGCGCAACCCACCAAAACCACACATATAGGCTGAGGGATTGTCTTGAAAAGCAGGGACAATGACTGTGTTGAAAATGTGGGAATAGAGAAAGAGAGAGAGATGAGAAAAGAGTACTGAAGAGGTATAAACTGGGTCAATGGAGGAGGTCAGCCATCATATGTAGAGGCAGATGTTAGACCATATTGCACTGGATTACTGCAGCACACAGGAGAAAGAGAGAGAGAAAGCAAGAGGGGAGACTGTATTTAATGCCTTTTATCAGTCGTAAGAAATAGTACATGTATTTCCATTTGTAGTTCAAACCCCCAGCGATTAATTTTTTTGACGGACACTTGGAAGGCTGCATGTGTATTCACAGTGATAAGCACCGTGAATTCCTTTCAGATAGCAATCTGGTGGCATTGTCCGAGCTCGATGAGGTAAGTGACACTGTTAATAGATAGTATGGTTGGATTGATCCTGTTGATGTTACAAAACATTCCCAGTGTATCAATGACAATGGGAATGGTATTTTGACTCAAAGCTTCCCACAAGCAGACCTAAAACCTGGACTGAGTACTGTTCCTTGACAATCCGAAAAAATAATCAAGCAGAAAAGAGAAAAATTATCCTACCTCACAATAGATTTTAATTTGGCTTTTGGATTTTTGTAAGCACTAGCTTTAGCACTAATTGACACTTAGGGAGGGTGATTTCTTGGCAGCAGCTTCAGTCAGACGCAACTCATGTCAAAGTTCATCCTGCCTGGCGCACTAATCAAAACGGCACAGAACTCAACAGCCAGTGTTTAATTTAGCACACAAAAAAAAATAATGACAAGAATAGGAAGAATTGACGACAACAAAGAAAAAAGCATAGACGCACAATAGCCAGCGGTGACCAAAACGACAATAGCTTAGAGGATCACTCCGAACTGCTTCCATTTTGACAACAAAGCAAGATGGGAAAAGAAGCTCATAATCTGAGTAAAGCAGGGGATTACTGGAGAGCGAGCGATGTCTGCTCAGCCACATAAAGACACGCAGATCCACTCCGACGGATAGCGCTGACAGCAAGCCCGTCTTTCTGCGCTCAGGGAGGGGACAGGGGCTTAGCGAGGATGGGGTGGTGGCTTTGTTAAAACATGTGTCACCAACACTAATACTCTCCAATCAGCCTTACGAGTTAAAGCCCAAATGCCAATCTATCTCCTCCCGTCACCCTGCATATACACACGTACAAACACACACACATTACTTAGTGCCATCACATTTGACCTGCTAGATCGGACAGGCCTGAAATCAAGTGCTGCATAACAGACTGGTGTTGCCATTGTGATCTTTCTTGTGCGTCCTCCCTTTGTGTTGACGGTGTGTTTTCTTACCTTTGTCACCTTTAAACACACACACACACACACACACACAGAGTTCTAGTTGGAGAATTAGAGCTGGCCTAAGACTCCTCTGTGAGGATTAGCAAAGAGAGAGAGTGAGAGAAGCAAGGGGAGAAGCTTTAAGAGTTCAAAAGGACGCAGCTTGACTGAAGGAGTCAAGAGTCCTATCAAATCCCTCACAGATACACCCTCCCCCATTCAGCACCTCTGTGTGTGTGTTTTTGCGCAAGGCTGACATTTAAATTCCTCTGTTACATCCCCACTTTTGAGACCAGCCACCCATTCATCCCCCATTCTCGCTGCGTGTGCATACGTGAGCCCGTGGGCACTTGAGGGGCATTGTGCTGTCACTTCCTGTTTGCTCACGCTGACGACGGGGTGGCAGTGCTTTGAGCGTGTTCAGTGGCAGCCCGTTGGAAGTGCAGTGTATGTGTGTGTTGGTCTAGTAGTTGTGACTGACAAGAGCTGGCCCTGTAATAGAACTCAATTCAGAGAGAAAATAAAGCAGTCTGATGCAGTGGACTGGACACGGAGCATCTCCCCCTCTCACGCACACACATAGGCAGAGCACACTCCGACAGGGGCCGTATGTCACGCTCAGGCACACACACACAACCAGGGGCCTTGGTGGGAGTAATTGAACAGAAATGACCTACAAGAGCTTTATTTCATGTCCTGCTCCCCTGCACAGACTACAACTTACAACTGAGGTCACCTCATGATCAGAAAGCCCAGAAAAATGTGTGTGTGTGTGTGTGTGTGTGTGTGTGTTGAGGTAGTGTATGACTGTGCAACCAGAGTAAGGAAATAACCGAAATATAAGTAATAACCGACTGACTGTACAGTGGCTAACTCATTACTTAACATAACGAAGTATAGATTTGAGCTGAAATTATTTTTGATGTTAAAAGAGTGATACAAGAGATAAATGAAATCAATTTTGTAGGACAAAATCCGATTATAAAGTTTAACAGTGGAATAAATTTTATATGAATATTTGACCATGAAATGTTGCTGTTGACCAGTCAGAATCTAATATTCCAGCAGTGTATAATTCTTCAGTTTAAACAGCATATTGTTTCTATGCAAGGTTTCTAAAATGTTATTTTAATTACTTATGTTAATGTCTAATATTATTGTAGACATCTAGTTTTACTTACTGTAGACAAAAAAAAATATTGGCCATACATAAATATAACAATATATATATCAGAGATTTTTTATATATCAATGTACCCCTACTTTTAGGCATACAGTTAATATAGCAGTGTCCTGTTTTTGAAGAAAAAAATCTGTACTTATTAACTTTATTAGCTCTCTGAGGTGCAAATTTAGGCAGATAAAAGCCAGTGTGAGTGGATAGAGATGTTCTGTATGGAGATATGTCTCTAAGCATGATGGTGTGTTAATCTCTGTGTTCTCATCTGATAGAAATATTTAATTCTAGCAGATACAGCCGACAGAAGATTGTGGAGAATGTGCTGTCGAGGTTGAGAGAGAGAAAGAACTGCCATGGACATTTGCATAAACCAGTCTTTGTTTCCTGTTGGTGGCTGGCAGCCAGAGACGAACAGAAGGACGGAAGTTTTACTCACAAACAGCCACTCGCTTCCAAACCTTAAAGAGAAAAAAATACAATTTAAAAAACAGCCCGTCTCTGCTGCTACTGTAAACACAGATTTGGTTCCTCATCTTTTCCCACAAATACAATAAAAGCCCCTCTCTCTCTTCATTCTTAGCTTTCCTCAAAGTCCACAAAATTGCACATGAAAGCAGCACAAACTCACTTATTGCAAGAATTGTACAAACAGCTTCGGGAATATATTTTGCGTGATGTCCAGCCACTGTACTGTCTGCCTGTTACCGTAGAAACATGTGCTCTGGTCCACAAATACATTGTTGAGGAGCACATCACTGAGCTCCATGTTTAACAGTTGGGTTATGTTATTGCTTGAGGTTGAGTAATACATGTTTGTTTGAGGGGTAATGCAGATATCAATATCTAAAGACCTGATAAGCCAATAGAATATTGATATGTACATATAAATATGCATGACAATAATTTTTTTTATTTATTTTTAGTATTTTATTTTCAAAATGTTCATTATCTGTTGATGAAGCTAATATGATTTTGTACTGATGAAACTATTAATCAAAAGATCAGCCAATATATTGGTCAATAATGACTACATTTTAAACAACAGGAAAAGAAAGTAGCAAAATGTTTGTTTATTCTGTCAAATGGCAGTATGCTTTATTTCATTGAATAATGCTGGCAGATATGTTTTCGAGTTTTAAGAGTGCTTTCTCATGAGTCCTCCTGTCCTGGTGTGCGTTCTTAAACGAGTAAAAGAATCAACGGGGGGTCTGGCGTTTGTTTCCACTCCCAGTGGCTAAGAGCTTCACAACTTCTCTCTTTACGTTAACACATTCACCAGTTTTTCACCTTGAGAGGCACTTTTTACAGTCTTTTCTTTCCTTAGTGAATATGACCCTTACGGTGAGTGTGTTTTTTCCCTGGATGCACCTTGGCGGGGACATGTCTCACTCAGGCGTCTGCTAGCTGTTAGCGTAGCCCCTTGAGGCTGGATGGTGGAACATAAAGTGACAGCTCTGTCCCCTCACACATAAACAACCATCAGCCCTCTCCACTAATGGCCAAACCAGCTTTTTTGCCTTTTTTTCCCTTTTTGTTTGTTTGTGCATTCTATGTATTCATTTATTGATGGACCTTTCCCTCTTCTTCATCCACTCTTCTGTCCCTTCTCCCTCTGTCTGTCCTCTCTTTTTTTCCTCTTTCTATCTCTCTGTCTCTGAGCAGCAGTTGTATGCAGCTCAGCTAGCTGCCATGCAGGTGTCTCCAGGGGCCAAACACAGCACAGTGCCTCAGGCCAACCTGGCAACCGGAACACACTCGCCCACCAGCGGCCAGAGCGAGAAAAACAGAAGCACCCCGCCACCAAAGCCCAAGGTATGTGTTTGTGGATGCGTATTAGGCTTGAACAACTGCGTACATTTACCATCCATAGCTAATAGTCTTTGTATGCACTGGTTTTTTTTGGTTGATTACCCATAACTTGCGCAAGCTGGCACTATGCCCTCAATACTCAGTGCCTCATTGCATTGTTCCATTTCATGTGCTTTGTTATGGCAGCTTCTGAAGGTCCTTGGTCCTCAAACCTGAAGTCTAGCTACCACCGCTGTGTTGTGCTTTTTCCGATTGCGTATAAGTCTCTGAGCAGGTATCTTTCCCTCCGGCCAGCATGGCAGCAGGAGGCCGGAGCTATCTGAGCGGAATAAAGCTCCATGAATATCAGGCAGAGCAGAAATAAAAGCAGCCTGTCTGTCCTCTCTTCCCTCCTGCTGGGCTGGTCATTCTAGACGCCCGGACACCCCTGCAAGCCCATTCTGTCCCGCTCAGCAGTACAATAGCTGGACCGTGGGGTGGCCAAGGCTGGATAAACATGTGTGAAGGCCTGTTGCCCGCTCCCTCTCCGGCCTTGAGCCACAGCTGAGCCCGATGCTTGTTTGGATAGGGAAGAGAACAGACCTTTCCATCCGTCAATCTCAGTGCAAAGCTTTGGCAATCCCCATCGATTGGGTCTGGCCCCATGCAGCTCACTGTGTCAAAGGCTAATGAAAGCTGGTTTCCTCAAATATTTGGTCCTTTGTTGTCACATGACCAAATAAATGGAGAGAAAGAAGAGGGATAGGGATAATACAGATAATTGGCAGTGCCGCCTGCACCTGCTAGACCTCCACAGCTACTGAGCCATGAGAAAATGACCTTTTCCTTAAATATATTGTCTCTAATATTCCGTCAAGTAAGTGGAGTCAGAGTCCTCCATTTTTCTTTCTCTACTTCCTGTTTCACTCTCCAATTATTTCCTCAATCACGACTCTCTTGTTCTCTCTGCGTCTGCAAGCTTTTGCCATCATGAAAGGGCAAGCATGTATATTTCAGGGTTGCTGCCCTGGGGTAGTTGCCAATCTCTCATTTTAAGACGTGTGCCATGTGTCAGACAGCTGGTTGGACTGAGGCATACAAAGCTTAAGTGCTTTACCCCGGGGGGAAGCCTCACAACACAGGTGCATCACAGTCACTATATCACAGTTTTCACTCTGTGACCTACTCAAGGGATCACACATCCAGACCCTCACACCCTCATTCCTTCACTCAGGCTCAGTGCTGCCACAGTTGGCTTTAGGATGTCTCTTGAAATTGCTATATATATATATATATATAATTTATTTAAACAAAAAAACAGTAAAAACAGTACTCTTGTGATATATATATATATATATATATATATATATATATATATACACAGCTAGATTGTATGGTTGGTTAACATTCTGACCTTTGACACTTCCGGTGTAAACACCTTCAAGCTGTTACTTCCAGTATTGATACAATGTTATTGTTAATTTCTAGGTGTTTTTTTGTTTGTTTTTGGATTTCTAAGTGACATATGTCATTTTATATGAGATTTAAGCTTATTAATTTTGTATTTGAGTTGTCTCCTCCTGTAAAATGTGTATGACCGATCTTAAAGCTAGCTTTCCTTCTCTCACATGGCTTTGCCAGTCTTCATTAGTTCTCCCTTCACCAGCTTCATTCTCTTTGGCTAACATCCCACCCAAGGATTTGCTTCTCGAAGAACAATCCACCATCGGGGTGGGAGGCAGGCATTATCTGTCATAAATATTCAGTTTTATTCAGTTTACACCCGACACAATATGGGTCATGATACAGTATTCTCCTCAATCTCGTCTTAGTGTTCTCATTGAGAAGGGTCTTTTGTGTGTCTCCCTTACGATGGAGTCCACATCCCACTGGTTCCCTTTCCATTGAGAACAGCGCTAATGAAGGACAATCCTGTTATGGCCCATCACAGCACAAGCAGTGAGGGAAAGGTCTTAATCAAGCTCTCCAGACCTCAGAAGCTCTGTTCCAAAACCTAGCATGCTGCCTACTGCCTCTGAAAGAGAGCGAATGTCTGCTCGCACTACTGCAGACGCAAGACGAGGAGAGACAGTTCTGTGAGAGGTAGTTGTCCTCTATGGCTGCTGCAAATGCTTTTGTGTTTCTGGCCATTCATGACAGACGGAAAGGCTCTAGAAACAGGTGTCGGTACAGATGCCACACTCCTCATTTTAGCACATATAAGATCTCACCACAGTGGGAGCATGATAGTGACCTGAGACTCACTCTGCCAGGCGAGGTTGATTGACAGCTGTGGCTTGAGCGAGGGCTGGTGAGGTCATTAGAACCTGGAGGTCTTGCCTGTGTGCCCACATGCTTCTGATGTGGTTTCATTAAGGATCTGTGAAGCTGTTAAGAACAATAGTGAAGACAGAAAGGTCTTGATGGCAATTAAGACAGGTTTAAGCCTTCAATGCAATGTTCTAATGATGTGCATGGGGCAGCATCTGTCGTTATGAGATCTAATTGGCTCTATGGTGCCTTCTCTGATGTGATTACAATGTCAGCAGGGTTGATATCTGGGTACTAGTCATTTGCACGTATGAATAGATGTCCACCACTGATAACCTGGAGGCAGACAGGCAGTGTTGTTGTTTTTTATTATGTAAATTGACATCTGTGAACATTTGAAGCTGGAATGTGTGCATAAAATAATTATTTGTGCTTATATTTATGGAATGCTTGGCCATTCTGTGTTTGTTTGTATGCTTGTATGTTTTTTTCTTATCAGTGCGCAACATGTTTGGTAAAAGTGTGAATCTTCTCACTTAAGCATGTTTCTTTACATGGTATGCTCGCTTTGTCCCTGTTCTCTTGTTTGATTGAGCATGGGTGTGCTGCATGTTTATTGTGCCATGGCACTGCGCAACATCAATCCAATTTTGGCAAGTTTTTCAACTGGCCTGCGCAACCACAATTACTCTTACCTTTTCTTGTGGCCTGGCTGCATCTGCTGAAAACCTACATTTCAGCGTGCGGTCAGCTGATTTGACCCTTGCTCGGAAAATTGATTGGGTCCCAAGTCTCTGAGGAGAAAAATCACACCAGGCCAAACGTGTTGCTGTTTTGCAGGACGAGGGCGCTCAGCCCTTGAATCTGTCGTCCAAGCCTAAGGCATCCGAGAGCAAGTCACCCACCTCCCCCGCTTCCCCACAGGTCCCTGCCCTGAAGCTGGGCCACGGGTCCCTGAAGCACAGCGCCCCCTCCAGCATTGGAGGACCGCCATCCAGACTCAGCTCCATAGGTACCCACACCTCCACAGTTCATTGCAATTCAATAAACACACACAAATCGCAGCATAACCTGCTTAATGTTATTACATATTGCCCTGAATGTATCTCTCAAGAGCATTTCCTACTCCCTGGATATGTTTTTCTGCTTGCACAGACTCTTGTATGAGATGGTAATTGATGTTACATTTTTAGGTTTGTAGAATTTAATTTTGCCTGAAGGGCACATTGTCAAACATTTATTAGTCTAAATGGTGGGGGAGAGCTTGTTAAGCAGCTGTGTTTGGAAGTGAAAAAGAGCGAGACAGCGGATGGGAAGGTTTAGCGGCGTTTATTTCTGTTGTTTAGAGGTGCTGAATAGAGCAACACAAGCCTTCCTGACAGGCTCAGAGATTAGACAAGCCTCTTACACAACTCTGTTACCACCCACAGCACAAACAACATACATTAATAACACAATAAAGCAATATTCTCCCCATCCCCTTGCTTCCCCTCATCACAACAGTTAGCCATTTCAGACTTCTTCCCTGTAATCGCAGTGTTTTTCAACAAATCCTGGGATTTAATAGCAGATTAGTGGATTTGCCGCCCAGATGTTTTTTGTTCTGAAAAATGGATTAGGAAGTAAAGTTTTCACTGGAATCCTTTGGAACATGACGCAGTGAATGGTTCTTTAAATTTGAGAGTGCCGTATGTCCCATGATTATTCCATCTGGTGCACATCTTTAAGGGGTCAGGAAGTATTGTGATATCAAAGATGTATTCAGAGCCCCACTTAACATTCTGTTTGTAGGTGTATGTGTTTATCTGGATGTATATTTATATTTCAACTTGACAGATCCCTTTGCACGCCCTTTTTGTGCAATTTCCTCATCTTTCCATCATCCTTGTTCTCCACCTCACTGATCTGTTTGACCTTGCAAAGTGACATCTGTCCTGAGACTTTCCAGCATGCCCGACCCCATGCGTCCCTTTCTTTTTGTGTCACTGTCACCACAAAAACACAACAGGGGCTGTCAAGGACTGTGTCCTCTACGGCCATCACTCTCCTTTGCTTTTCCTCAGAAGCCAAAAAGAAAGTTTCACTCTTCAGGTCACTGTAATGTTAAGTGCGATATACTGTTTATGTTTTTTGTTATTAAGCTGATATTCATCTCTTCATTAAACAAGTCAAGACAATCTAATAACCATCTCTCTTTAGTGGGGTCAGTGCTCTCAATTAACACTCCAGACATTTTTTTACCCCCTATTAAATCGACTGTCAGGGAGTGTGCTGGCTCCCACTCACCCTGTGACCTGTGGCCACTTTAGCAGATTCCTGAGATATGACTTTTAAAAGAGTTCCCTACTCTGTCATTTCAAATGAAAACATTTAATCCATCCTATCCAGCATTAGTGACCGGATTAGGGCAGATAAAGACTCATAATCTAGCATAGGTCTTTGTTAGATCTATCCTGGCAAAGATAATGCTGCACCACACACATACACTAGCCAACAGATGCGGCTAACGGCTTGGGCGGTTAAGCTGCTGATAATAATACAAATAATAGCCATGAAAAGATGGTTGGAATGGTTGGAAATATCTTTGATATGCTCAAGAGGCAGATTTTGCGGAATGGGCCAAATTAGGCCGCTTATGGCTTTGATATAAGTAATCTCCTCTCTCTCTTTTTTTTTCTTTTAAGATTTCCATGAGCTTTGGTCTGAATAAAAGCCCAGAGAATAGTAGACAGAGAGAAAGAGAGAGACACTGCATTTATATATCTGGGATATAAGACAAATTGCACATTTTAACAAATCTCTCAGTGTAAAAATGCAGATTTGGGAGATTTTCATCAGGCGTCAGCATCACCAGTTTTCAACTGGATCTCTTATCTTTTAGTTGTGTGAGAGTATTGCTCTGTTCCAAAACCTAGTAAGCTGCCAACAGATGCAACATTTTAAAGCAAAGGCTATCTCCAAAGGTAGGCACCTTAATTATACAGCCTCCTTCATTACCCGCTTTTTCACCGAAATTACCTGGAACAATTTGTCCCAGGAACTTTTTTTCTCCCAGACCTGTTGCTGTCTGCGTTTCCATTGCGGTCTAAAGTACCGAGAAGATTAGGCAAATTGTCTGGTGACGTAGGTCTGCGCGCGTTTCTCAATACCAAGTACGCAAATTTCGGACTTGGTCCTCGGTAGCTCGGACTTCGCAAGTTCGAGTGTGAACTCCCGCGGACGGGACGACGCAAGTCCGGTAATTCTGAAATTAGCAGCGTATTTGATAATGGCAGTCAGCTCGCCTTGGCTACTGCATTTTTCCTAAGATGAAATATCATATCAAACACCGCTGCTTTTTTTTTTTCATTTCATTTAAACATATTAATAGCCGGAGAAATGTAGTTCAGGGAACGTACATGCATTACAATGAAATGAAATATTATATCAAACAGTATTGACTCTTTTAATTTTCATTTTAACATATTAATAGATTAATAGAATAATAGAATAAAGACTAAAGATTACCTGTTAGATTTACCCAAAACAAATTATCTTATGTTTAACCACTAGAGAGACATCAGAGTCAGCGGCAAATGTCAGAAGGACTAGCCGAGGCTAGGCTGCTCTCGTCGGGAAACATGAGCACTGAGCGTCCGCTGATCGCGTGGAGCTCACGTCTCCGAAATCAGCGTAGCACATTTTCAAACAGGCGCTGTCTTTATAAATAAACCACAGATTTGAGTTTTAAACAACTACATTCTCGCCTGAAATACTTTTAAAACTACATTTCATGACACAATAACAGTAATATATTTTTTTTAATTATGTGAATATGGTGGTTGAAATACAATGCTGCGTGAACTCAACCAATCAGCATGCTCAGCACCCAAGTCCCGCCCCCGAAAGTTTCGGACCTTTGAAAAATGCAATCACAAAATGCATTGCGACAAGAACAAAGAAAAAATAACTCAATACATTAGACAAAGCGAGATAAATGTTGATTACAAGTAAGCTTTTCAAGCAATATTAAAAAGTTTAAATAATTTTTTAATAGTTTAGTGTAATTAAAGCATTATTTTACCCAGTCTGATTTTTTTTTCTTTTTAGAGTTTTGCAGAATTTGTTTACCAACATGCTAACATCCAACTCTATTTAACTTAGTTGCTTCCTATGTAGAACATTGTTGTTGATTATGTAGGCTGTAGACAGCAAGGAACAGAGCTTGTGTCTGAGTATGTGTGTCAGCTACAGGAATCTGTTGACATTTTCTGCATTAAATAAAAATTCTGATTTTATGTTCAGCTTTTCCACATCATCATATTATATTTACAGACATTAGGCTACTAAACCACTGATCGCCAACCAGTTTTCAATACACAAAATAATGTTCTTTTTAGCAGCATCATATGACCCCTTTAAGGAAAAAAATCTCTTAAAAATCTCTTTCCTATGAGTGAATATTAAGATCTGGCCAAGCTAAGTCACAGAGGTGGTAGTCAAATGGTCAGTGTGCGTATGGTAGGTGGCCTCAGTTCTAATGTGTGACGTCTGGAGAGCCAGCAGTGTTTTAGTATTGGGTGGCTTCACTTTAAGTCCATATATTGAATTTAAATACACTTTATGTCAGTGAGTTTTGACTAGTTTTAATTCAAATGGCAAGTGCCAAAATTGTTCCTTGTACAGATATTAAACAGAAATGTGTTCAAAATCAAACACTGACATTTATATTACCATGAAATTCTTATGCCCAACTATGTGCAAAATTGCTAACGGGGAATGGAAATTGGCAATTTGGTAAATGCAAGAACCATTTGAAAATGACTGCTTGACAAAGACATCTTTATGCTTTACCTGTATGTTGTCTTATGCCTGTGCTCTGTCTCACTCATACCTGTCATGCTTTCAGACCTGCTGTCGTCCATCACCTCCGGCGGCTACCTGAACGACCACGAGGCCGTGACCAAAGCTTTCCAGGAGGCCCGACAGATGAAGGAGCAGCTAAAGAGAGAACAGCAGGTTCTGGACGCCAAAGTAGCGGCAGTCAACAGCCTGAGCCTCAACAACGGTCGATCAGAGAAGGTTCGATTAACTCTGGTCTTGCATTTACAGACTCTCTCGTTTTCAATTTGTGAAGGAAAAAAGTCTGCAGATCCCATCCTGCTCATCCCCAATGAAGTTTAAAACAGGCAAAACAACACAAACAGAAGCGTTAATTACAACAGAATGTGTTTATCTCTGAACAAAGCGATTTCCCAAAGCTGTTCTTGTGAAGAGGAGCAGTGGAGGTGACTAAGATCTGAAAGCTCTTTTGTTGTACACGATAGTCGTGTCTGGGAGGCAGGCTGAGGGCAGGCAGGGCGCAGTGAGCGGGACGCTAATTTCAATGGCGTAGCTGATGCTAATGTGAAATGACTGGAGTGACTCCTCGGCTGTGCAGCTAAATTGGGCTTGTTTGCTAAACACACTGGAGTCAGCTGGTCCACGAGCCACAGCACAGGAAACGCACACTCACTTTCCAAGGAATTTGCATACAAATGCTTTAAAAAGCCGAGTATGTCAGTAAACAAGCATTAAATTATGGACAGTTTTGCCTCGTCCATCTCTAATGGCGTGCGTGTGCACATCAGCAAAGGAAGATATACACACGCTTGTATATACACAGGTGTCCTTGCTTCCTGATCTTCTCTGCCGCACAGAGATTTGGTTTATTTCATAAACCTTTGTGTGTAAATTCATATCAACATCTGCGAATACACAGTAGGTAAATGCTTAATATAAGCATGTTTATGGGTGGTGCGTTGATCTCTGCTTCAGTTTAGACACACGCATGTTGGGTGTTTTTTTTTTTTCTTATTCTCTCGACCAGGCTTAGTGGCTGTGCTGATTGCTACTAGGTTAATGAAGGTGCATTAGGAATAATCTCCCAGGCACTCATCAATCCAAACAAAGTTTAGCTGGTTAGCATGGCCCAGTTAGCCTCTGCTGGTACATGTTGTAACTACACCTGCTTTAAAGCATCTTTCTCAATTAACGCCCATTCAAAATTAGCTATGTATTCTGACAAAATATAATTTGTGCAAGTAGATGTTTTAGCAGTGACGGTTTGTTTTTGAGGGCTCCTAAAAGTACCAAATATACTTGCAATTAAGATGAATAGGAGCGTTAACGGATAACTTTTGCCAGACATTACAGACCTTCTTGTGTATAAAGCCTAAGTTTTCATGTTGTCACATTATCAAACCTGATCATCCCTCTATGGCTCCTCCCAGGCACTCTATTCTTATTATGATTTACCACAGATCAGCTGCACTTTACCCTGACCACAGCTTTACACCCTTACACACACCGCCCTCCGCACTGCACTTGTGCACACGAGGGGTTATTTTTGATTAAGGCCACACATTCGAATGCTGAAAAAAAGGTCAGATCAGTTGCAGTAAATATAAGGGCAACACACACCTGAAGAGAAGAGAGTGTGTTTTCAACGATTTCTGTCTTACAAAAAGTGGATGAATTTTCTTTTCTGTATTTGACATTTTACAGGTTGAACCAGGAAGTTTTAATACATTAAATGACTTAATACTTACTACTTAATAATGACTTTAATACAAAAAATAGGGTTTTGTTACATCACAGCTATGACCCATAATTTGCTTCTTACTAGGCTTAGCAAGGGGGTGAGGGGTGATGCATAATAATAATAATCAGAGAGAATCTGATTGGACAAATATCTGTAATGCAGGATGAATCGTGTATTTTTTTCCATTTTCTTAGAAGAGACTAATTTTTAAATGTGCATTTCTGTTGATGATTTTTTTTGGAACTTTTAGAAGTACAGTAAGAAATAGATGGCTTCAAAGCTAACAGACATAGATTTAAATCCTCAACATTCAAAACGTAGCGTGGATTCAGGATGGAGTCTAATTGACTAATTAAGCCCCAGATGCGGCTCCGGGGGGGGGTGACGGAGGGTGTGCATGTTTAGAGAGAGCAGGGGTGTTGTGTTGAAATATGCAGCCCAGCTACATTAGCCATGTAAATGCATAGTAAATCTCTTTTTATTGGGTGTAATAAATACCCAGGAGGCTGTGCAGTCCAGCCCCGCTCTCATCTCTGGAGCGCTCGCGCTCTCTAATGCACTGACCTTAAGGCCAAGCGAGAGAGACAGAGATCGAGTGAGTAAAAGAGCGAAAGAATAAGTCTAAATAGATTGCAGGTGGCATCCAGGCTACTCGTTTTTGATGGATAAACATTAATTCACATTTTCATTCATTTTATTTTTTTTTCTATGCACTTGATTTGTCAGTTCATTGGTGTTTATAGTAATGAATCTGTTGATTTGTCGATTATGAATTTAACTGGATTGGTTGTATGTTATGTGTGTACAGGATAAAGCCACTCTTGAAAGCCTGAGCCAGCAGTTAAAACAGTCTGAAGAGAGCAAGTTCACTCACACAATGATGGACTTTGGCATCAGTGGCGATTCAGATGGTAAGATACTCTTTTACGGCCCATCATAAATTCCTCTCTCAAATTTTTTTTTTGTATAATCAAAAAGTTCAGTTTAAAGTCGCATGAAATAAAAATGTACATTTTCTTTTTATTAATCTTATTGTGAACAACTCATCCATGCACATGTTTTATTTTTTATTTTTTTTACCTCGTAAATTTTCATTAAAAAACAAATTCGACTCCATAAATACTCCTTTTCTTGGATTAAACCAGGACCCTGTCCTAATTTTTTGTTAAATATTTTTTCTATGTTTGTTCTATGATAATCTGTTTTACTTGGATGTATGTCATAATATGGAAGAAAATATTTTAGTAGACTTTAAAGGGTTAGTTCACCCAAAAATGAAAATTAGCCCATAAATTACTCACCCTCAAGTCATCCTAGGTGTATATGACTTTCTTCTTTCAGACGAATCCAGTTGGAGTTGTATTAAAAATTGTCTTTGATCTTTCAAGCTGTTTAATTCCACTCAGCGGGTGTTGCATGTATCCCTCCAAAAGAAGTTAAATAAAAAGCGCCTTCCGACTGGATTCGTCTGAAAGAAGAAAGTCATATACACCTAGGATGACTTGAGGGTGAGTAATTTATGGGCTAATTTTCATTTTTGGGTGAACTAACCCTTTAAGAAACATTAAGGTTAACGTGAAATGACCATGGCATAGACCCGATTTACTTCCCTATAATATTCATTCTATTCTTCTTTTCATGGTCACCCACCTTTTTTTTTTTTTTGGATATGAATTTCGACTGTCAACTCGCTTTTAATCTTGCTCCATTCCATTTTTCATGATCCAATGGATTCTCAGTGGATAACATTACATCCAACCCTACATTTCCATCTTATTTTATGTGTACTGTACACATGAGTATGTTTATCCCCACAATAACAGTGACTCCCTGCCTTTCCTTCTCCAGGAAGCCCGAGTGTGTCAGACTCACGGATCTTCCGAGACTCTCGAGGGCGTGGCAGCAGCGAACCGCACATCAAGCGGCCCATGAACGCATTTATGGTCTGGGCTAAAGACGAGAGGAGGAAGATCCTTCAGGCCTTCCCTGACATGCATAACTCAAACATCAGCAAGATCCTCGGTGAGAGAGAGAGAATAGTCAGAGACAGCACTAGTAAATCTCTCCAACCACTTATTTAACCACTTCAGGGTTACTAGCTTCGTCTCTTGTTTCCATCTGCAGTTTTTGACTCAAGGCTTTTGATAGATTTATATTCCATCCAGCTTTGATTCGCCACACACTGTATTCCCTAAATGGCTGAGATTTCTGGGGACATTAAATATTGGGGGGGGGGCTTAAAGACTGGCTACTTCGGGAAGAACTATGCAGCCAGCCACAGAGAATCCCCTCCGTTCTTCCTCTCCAACACACACACACACACACAGCCCTCTCCCGCACTGCATTGTGTAACCACTGCCTAATGAATCGCTCTAGAGGGCCGACTCCAACAATGATGATATAATTCATTATGCATTAAACCAGCTCTCCAGTCTGTCTGACATTTTCTCCAGACCTCTGGGATTGTGTTTGACATTTTAAAGAGCTCCTAAGCGTTTTATAACGCTGGAAAATCTGGTTTTAATAAGGCCCCGCTCGCTCAATTGTTAACAGAAGGAGTTTCCCCTTTCCAGTGCTGGGTGCATGTCAGGGCCAGTGGTGACAGCTTTTTCCCATTAAACATACAGTAGGACTGTGTAAATTCAACACAGACTCACATATACACACACATAACACCCTGAACACACATTTGCTGGAGTTTCTGGGACCGTGGTGTGTGTACACATTTGTGTATGTGTTCACACATCTCGGTTAATGAGAAATAAGAGACACAGGCCACAGGTATGCCTGTTGAGCTCTGATAATTAGATGGAGTGTGTTAGTGGCCCACTTAACCCACTGTCACCTGGAATAATGTTAAATGTCACCAGTGTGTGTGTGTGTTTTGGAGGGCAGAGAGCACACTCTATTCTTCTCTGTTTGACATCAGCTCCACTCAAAGGTACTCATTAGACCAAACAAAAACCCTCTCTTAGTGCAAAGTGCCAATTCTGAGGCTAACGATAGGCAGTTAAAAGCGAGAGTGTATTAGAGATGTGCAAAATTGCATATTTTAAAAATCGAATAGTCACTGGGTTGCCTGAATGATTAGTCATCTAATCTGTCTTAAAGAAGCTCTGTATAATTAGTCTGGATTTGAGTTCATCTGACCCCGATCTGCCGCGTTTTCCTAAATGTTTATGGCTGTAGCGGCTAACCCATGTCATTCTGTCTGAATCACAAGTGTGCATGCATGAGGTGTGTGTTTGTTCTCTAACACCTTGTTGTTCCTGCAGGTTCTCGTTGGAAGGCCATGACCAACCTGGAAAAGCAGCCATACTATGAAGAACAGGCCCGTCTTAGTAAGCAACACCTAGAGAAATACCCAGACTACAAATACAAACCACGGCCCAAACGCACCTGCCTAGTGGATGGAAAGAAATTGCGCATTGGTGAATATAAGGCCATCATGCGCAACCGCAGACAGGAAATGCGCCAGTACTTCACCGTAGGGTAAGTTTCGTTACATAACACCTTCCAGTAATGTATTCTTTTAAAGTAGGGATGCTCCGATCCGCCTTTTTCGCCTCCGATACCGATACCTAGGGTTCGGTATTGGCCGATACCGATACGATACCAGTGAAGTTTTTTTCCCCCATTTAAATAAATGTAGAATTTCAGAATGATGCGCTTGAAGCAACACGGCGTCAGGCTGTGACACCATGTTGCTTCAAGCGCATCATTCTGGACACCGGATGCGCACATTGTAAGCGCTTCTTGTTAAAAACTGCAAAGCACAAAGGGAAGAGAAATTGATGCGTAGTGTATTATATCTGTGCAACAGTTATTGAGCCTTTCTTTTAACAGTTTTAAATTTCAGTTACTGTGCACGTTAAAAACAATTTATAGTCTCTTCTTCGCCCGTGTTTTGTTCTCACAGACACCCAGTAGCAAGTTACAAAACAACATTAAACTCCGGCAAGAAGATAAAGTCCTTTTTGCAAAATCATAGACATGTATTTACAAATCAAGTATAATGGGAACACAGAATGATCTTGGAGAGAGCTTTACCGAGCTGATTGCTGTAACCGAACGCGACCAGGGTTTAAAGGCTGAACGAATGACTGACAGCCACAGCGGAGAAAAGAGTTTGTGTGAACTTTAATGTAAGGACTTAAATATTCATATGTAGCTCACATTAAGCTATCGTATGGTTTCAGAAGTAACACAGAATAATTCGCACAATCGGGGAAAAAAAATAAAAAATCTCGGATTTGGATCGGCCCTCTCTGACCGATACCCGATCCGAGAAAAATGGCACTATCGGAGCCGATACCCGATATGAATATCGGATCGGCGCATCCCTATTTTAAAGTCGACATAAAATTGACCCTGTTGAATTTGTAATACACATTCATTTTCTTACTCTGAAAGATCAATCAGTGCATTCATGAACAATGCACATTATTCCAAAGGAATAATTCGCTCCACCTTTGTAACAGCTCTCCTTTTGGGCGACATCAACAAGCCCTCTAATTTTTCAACCCTTCACTATCTAGTTCCCAATAGATAAGATGAAGATCCCACCCAACATTTTTTTTTTGTTAAATATCCAGTTTCACTCAGTTATATGTCACATTATATAAGTAGAATTATGGTTATGAATGCCATTTCAGGTTGACTCTCAGTTTTGCTAGCATTTTTAACACAAAGTTGTATCCAAGTAATATGTATAGAATTAATCATTGACTAGCAACCTAAGCTGCCTGTTTGTAAAGGGTACATTTTTAGGAAATACCAATCTGAAGAATGTTTTCTCCCAGGCCCTGCTAACAGATTGTGTGTTTGTTGTACTACAGGCAGCAGGCCCAGTTGCCCTTGTCCCCAGCGGGCGTTGTGTACTCAGGCGCGCTCTCTATGGCAGGAATGCCCTCTCCACAGATGCCCTGTGACATCAAGAAGCCCGCTAATTTTTCAACCCTTCCCTTTTTCACTATCTAGTTCCCAATAGACAAAATCAAGAACCCACCCCACATTTTTTGTTAAATATCCAGTTTCACTCAGTAATATGTCACATTATGTAAGTAAAATGGGTTATGAATGCCATTTCAGGTTGACTTTCAGCATTTTTAACACAAAGTTGTATTCAAGTAACATGTTATAGTACCAATCATTTGACTAGCATCCCATGTTGCCTGTTTGTAAAGTGTACACTTTTAGGAAACAACAATCTGATGAATGTTTTCACCCAGGCTCTGCTAACAGATTGCATGTTTGTTGTACAACAGGCAGCAGGCCCAGTTGCCCTTGTCCCCAGCGGGCGTTGTGTACTCAGGCGCGCTCTCTATGGCAGGAATGCCCTCTCCACAGATGCCCTCTGAGCACTCGAGCATGTCTAGTAGCCCCGAACCAGTCCCACCCACCAGCCAGCCGTCTTACCTCACACGCAAAGGGGAGGAGCCTCGTGTGAAGAAGGGGGAGCTCCGAATGGACGACGGCAATGGTGACGCCTACGATGACTTCGACTTCGAAGATGACGACGGGGACTATGGCAGTGACAGCGAGAATCACATCACTCAGTAAACCTGCCAATCACAGCCATCTCACCAGTCACCTGGCATCTCACGCAAGCAAACTTCATTCTGCCCCCATACACCGTCCAATCAGGACTCCTCCAGAGCCAAGCCCAATATCCACAGCAAAGCACAGGACCTGTCAATCAAAGTGACTGTTACATCAAAAGGAGATTCTTGTAAAGGAAGTGTAACACTTGCCTTGACTCCCGCTGAGCGAACGTACCACGGCAAGTTCACATTAAATCACGAATAATCTACGACGGCATAGGAAAAATGACCCTTAACCGGTTTGTTATTGAGACATTTATTACTAAGGACCAGTCATAGACACTTTAAAACGGTGGACCTGTTTGTTTCTAAAGAGACACTTTTAAACAGCTTTTTTCTTGGTTCTATAAAATTCTCACTCAGGTACACAGTGCCAACAAGTGGCTTGTGAATGTGATTTTGTTGTTTTTGTGCTACAGTTTTAATAAGAGAAAAAAGACGTTTATTTTCCTCTTCACCCTAAAGCACCTAACAGGAGTAAAACGACAAACATTTCCTATTTTTTTTTCTCTTCAGTGTGCTATTAGCTGAATCTCTTTCTATCATCTTCACGCTCATGTCCTCTCACTCAAAGATGTCTTTTCTGTTGGACGAAAGGATGGAAGGGAAGATTCGCGTCCCTTCACTCAGGAGTTCGGACACCGCTGGATGACAGACAATCCCTCCTTCCTCACATCTTTTCCTCTTGACACGCTTTTACTGTTCCTTTCTCCTCCTCTTCTGTGGGAGCTTTGGATGTTGACGTCTCTCTCAGGTGTCGAGACCAACTTTACGAGATAGCACAAACTTTGTGTTTGGTGAACAGCTGGCATGGCGATGGTTATCGTGGAGAGCGACGCCTCAAGCAGAATTATTGTATGCGTGCATATTTCTTTATGTTTGAGTGTGTGGAAGAATGCGCCTTTTGCTAGGCTTTAAGTTAATTTTAATTTCATGTAGACGGTTGATGTGCTGGTCATGTGAACATTTACGAAAGAAAAAAAACATTAATATTCAATACGTACGATTCATGCTAACAGCCAGATCCGTGCAAAAGCAAGCCAAACATTTTTAATAATAACACTGCATTTATCATTCCTTTTATGCATCTTTTTCATCTGATCATTTGTTTGTTTTTTTCTTAATTTGTCCTTTTTTCATCCTTTAATTTTTTTCCCGTCATTCTCATTGTCTCCCTGAACAACCTGTTTTTGTCATCGCTGGGTGCAGGGAACATTGCACCTCATTCTGAAAAGAGGAGGCGCGGAGAAAAAAGCTCTCTAGAGAAGAGTCTGTGCTTGAATGGCGTATTGAAGGAGGAGAATAGAGTTCCCACAAGCCCCAGTGCTCAGCACTCTGTTTTCAAAGGACAGCTCTGAGAGAAACCAGGGATCTCCGTACAAGACAAGCACGAGTGTGCGTTTCAATCAGTGCCCCTTAATATATCTCACATCTCTACTCCTCCGCAGGGGTTTGTGTTCTGTCTCTCTCTCTTCTTTATTTCCCGCACTTTTTTCCATCTATCACTTGGTTTATCAGCGCAGAGGAGTCTCTGAGACGTGCCATCAGTCATCCGCTCTCTGTGTGGCTCTTGCTGACCCACTCCCATCTTACTGCACCTGTCTGGCTGCTGTTGGCACGGCGACGGCGTTTGATTGACGGCTGCCCTAACTGTAACTACTCTGCCAGCCTCCCTCTGGCCTGGTGTGGGCATAAGCGGGGCAGCTGGATGAGAGAGACACACAAGCTGTTAGGTGAACAGCAGCCAGACTCCAGCCATTAATATGTTTTTTTTTTCCTCTTTACATCTACACAAAGGCCGTCCACTCAAAACACATATCAAATTATATATTCAGAATGCACACATATAACTAAAAACATATTTGAATTTTCTGGCCTACTTGAGATTTTTTTCTGACGATAAATGTTAGATTTGTTCTGATGATAAAAGGTACTCTGACGCCTGTAGCACTAGCAAAGTGATGACCAAACGCATTTTGCGTGTTCGTCTTTGTCTAGTTTATTCGGTTCGATGAGGTCCTGTCCCGTCTGTTGTTTGTATTTGTGTTTTGCCTCCATGTCAACGTCACTCTGCTGTCGAGGTTGGGAGGAGCCGTTTCAGACTCTGCATGTTAATGTTTTAGTTTGTATTTGCAAATACTGTATTTTATTTTTATTAAAACTGCCTCTAGTGTAATAATATTATTAACAATAATTATAAGAATAGGCAGCATTTCCTAAGTTTAGTAAGTTATGTACAGTATAATTTATTATTTTCCTCCAGTTGGATTTTTTTTTTATGATCGTATGGAAACTGCGCTTGATAAAGCATTATATTTAGCTGGGTAGGTATTTAGATCTAATTATTATGTTCAATATTCTGGGGGGGTTTTTTTCTTGTTTTTTTTGTTGAATTAATCCTGTTCTGATGCTGGTATATCTCTGAGAAAGTGGTCACGGTGAACTGCTGATATGAAGGAAAAGAGACATTTCTCTTTTTTTCATTTTCTTTTTCTCCTCCGTGCATCGTTCATGAACTCCAAACACATTTCTTAAAGCACTAGGACTCTGGACACTCGGAGACAAACATAAGAAGAACATCATATTTTTATTTGTAATGGTTTATGTATAATGTGAAGTTTCCTATCTGTGTTAATTCTCCTTTTCTTTTACTGAAGATAAAGAAAACAGCTATATTATACCCCAATTGTTATTGAACAGAAAGAGCGTGGATCTTGTTTACTGATATCTGTCATCCTCTCTCTTACGTTTCGTTGGAACATCACTGGTTTAGACGAATGCATTGGTTTACCTATTGTGTCAAATTAGAGTACAGTTATAGTACACAACACCTAAACCTTAAAAGGATAGTTCACCCCAAAAATTAAACTGACAAAACCTATATGACTTACTTTCTTCTGTAGAACACCAATGGAGACATTTAGCAGATGATCCGAGCTGCTCTGTTTCCAACCATAAGAGTGGATGGGGACCAGGGCCTCTGAAAAGAAAAAAAAAAAGCATCATAAAAGAGATCCATACAGCTGTGCTATATTCCTAAGTCCTCTGAAGCCATATGATAGCTTTGTGAGGGAAACAGACTGAAATGTAAGTCGTTATTCACTGAAAATCTTGCTTGAGCACTATGGTCACCATTCGCTTTCATTATGTGCAAAAGAGCAGCGTGGACATTCTGCTAAACATCTTCTGTGCTTCACAGAAGAAAAAAAGTGAAACGGGTTTTGAAAGATAGCGGCTGGTAAACAATTCCTTTTAATCATAAGACATGAACTTTCTGAATTGATCAAACTGTCTGATTCCAGTGACGCTCCACTGAATGGCCATATTAGATGTTTTATCTCCAGAATTGTTTTAGCTCCACACTGTCTCCCTCTGTCAATCAAGCTCACAGTAGTGACATCACAATCACACCTTGTCTGATAACGAAAGTCACAATCACAGAATAGCCACCATCTGATGTGACCATGCTTTCACATTTAGTAATTCCCACAATCATAACAATTGATAGGGACACGTATGCTGGAGGAAGGACTGGCTCGTTTAACATACAAGGTCACTTCTGTCAACTAATTATCTGTCGGCATGGTAACCTCATGGTCTTTAGAACATATACTCTGATGATGATGGCCTGTATTATGAACAATAATTGATAAGACAATCAAAGTCATGTGTGGAGCTCAAAACAATGTTAAATGACATCAAACAAAAAGTACTTAGAAACTTATCTTACCATCTCAACTTGAAAATCGAGAAAGATAATTATGTAAATATAGCGTATAGAGTTATAGATTTATATTTTGTTCATAACACAGTGTAATATAAGTTGTATATTTCTTTCTTTTATTGATGTTATTCATGCCACAATAAAAGCAAGAGTTACTGTACTCTTATGGAAAAAAAGCAAGCCGTGGGTTACCACCATCTGTTCTAAGTTGACGTTTTTCAGTATTACTGCCAGTCAAGGCTCAAATAAAAACAGCAACGTGTTCTGTATCTCTACTGTGTGTCTGTGGCTCCTTTTTCTGCCCTACTGCAACTCACCAACTCCATAATTAAACTCTAGCAGTCCAGAACTGCCAAAAAGCAGCACACTGCATACTAAATACTATCTGTCTACTGTTATGTGCCAACACAAGAAGCAATTAGAAGATTTTTAGGCCAAACAAAGGGAATTCCCACTGCTGAACGTCACTGTATGTGTCTGGAATGATGTACGTCACGCCGGACAGTAGGACACCTGCTGAGGTTACAAATATTTGTGGAAGAATATTCATGAATTACACAGTATTGTTAACAAATCTTAAAGGTTTGTCTTGATCGCTCGCCCTCATGTAGGTGGTCGAAGATGTTTTAACATTAGAAAATACTTTCAAACCAGACTTTCTAAACCACACATTTCATTTAGATCAATTAGAAATAATATTTGAAAAAATACCACTTTTATGTGCACATGGTATGTCTGGATTAGATTTTTAGTCAAAATGGCTCTGGTGCTGCCCTCAAAGGAGTATAGCAGTAGGATTACAGAAGTAAAAATCTCGTTCATTTGCGGGGAAAAAAGACAAAAATATTTATATATATATATATATATATATATATATATATATATACACACTACATATACATTTGTATTTACAATACAATACAGTAATACAATTGTATCTGCTTTTGTATATTAAAAAGTGAAGTAATACATTACCCACAATCCTTAAGCCAGCTCTAATAAAGTAGTTGCTATGGAAATGGTAGCAAGCACTGCGAATGGCATGATCAAGTCTCCCTTACATTTTTGTACATACTTGAATATTGTCCAATAAACTTTCATGTTAATTTTAAACTTTAAAATTTTATATTGTACGCTTTGTTGTTTATATAGTTCACTCCATTATAAAAAGGACACAGTCATGTACTTTTGTCTCATTTTCAAATACTTTTTTAAAGGGGTCATATGACTGATGATTCAAATGCGAGTTTTGGGCAGTGTAGAGTAGCGCTTGTTGTTTGTCATTTCTCCGATCACACATGCAGACATGGTTTTATGTTTACGCGGCATGACGCAACGCGTAAAAAGACAGTATAAGTCATTATGTCCCCACTGGATGCAACAAATGCCTCGTTTATAATGGGTTTTAATGTTTTTGTCTCGTCGCTCCGGCCGGGACAAGGCATCACAATATGGTAAGGGGCGTAACATTTCCGTCACACGCTTGAGGTATTCGGCCAATCACAACGCACTGGATAGCTGGCCAATCAGAGCACACCTCGCTTTTCAGACCAATGAGCTTTGTAAAAATCGCCGCGTTTCAGAAACAATAATGTTACAGTATGTGGAAAATAATGTGGGTTTTTTTACCTTAAACCGCATAAACACATTTCATTACACCAAATACACAAAATAATGTTCTTTTTAGCAACATCATATGACCCCTTTAATGTTTCAAATCAAGGCTTATTATGTTGTGACTGTTTGACTTAGTTTCAAGGCTTATAAAGTTCATCTGAAATGTCTGAAATGCCTGTGGAGAAAATAAATAAAATACTCCAGAAACCAAGGCTGCCTAAAAAGACACACCTAACTTGGTAGCAGTGCACGTGATTTTTCCACCAATCAGAAGGCCAGATGTGGAGAGCACAATAGATCACATCCAATCAAACGGCTGATCTAATTAAACACAACAAGTATGGTGGAATGGAAACAACCGAAAGAGAAATGAAGGTAAGGTTATCTTTTGAAAATCACAAGCTTTACAAAATGAAATGTGATAGTTGTGTTAATGTCAATGCTTTTGTAAAAGCTGCTGGATTCAGTGCTCTTGTCTTTTCTGGCCCTGTAATGTGTTTCCTCTCCGGTGGGTTTGCGCTGCTGTCTTGTGTGTTTGTCTGAGAGGGAGTCAAGTACTCCACATTTTCGTTTAAATGCAGTGGAAAGTGGGCTGGAAAATTGAGTCTTTAAGTCTTTAAGTGAAGTAGCATAGCTCAAGGCACTGTAAATATTTGATTTTTTGCCTGTAGCTAATACTGAATAGAGTGTTTTGTAAGAGCGTGTGTTTGTGCATTTCTGCTCAGTCTGAGGCTAAGTACAGAAAAGAAACATCTGATTCCTCAAATTATCTCTCCTGCTGTCTGTATTGCTGTCTCTGCTGAGTGTCGAATGAAAAAAGGGGGGCAAGATGTTTTCACGAGGCAACAGCATCATCTGAGGGAAGCAATTAGCATAATTCAGAGTGTGTATTAACTGTTTTTACATGTTTGTAAGCTCATGCTAGCTTATGTATTTTTACAGTTACCATGTCTGTGCGCATGATGCATATGTCTGAGTGTGTGTGTGTGAGTTCCAGAGAGCTTCTGCGACAGCTCAGTGAAATGTGCAGATTTGAAGCGTGGGTGTTTGGAGATTGAGTGAAAACGATGTCACATTAATGATTTAAAGTAGGTAATAGGATGTGATGTGCCTCCAGAGCCGCCAGCTAAACTGAGTTTAAGACACTCCGCTAATGTATTCATGAAGGGGGTGGGGGTGGGGGGGGATTAGAGAGTACTCAGAACTCCAACACACACGCAATCACACACACATTACCAATGACAGACAAATGTGTGCGCATACGACACCTTAGCGCGACCAAAGCCAAACGCATCTGTACTTGCACTACTACAAAGGCAAAATGTTAGCACGCATGCCATTCGACATCACAGGGGCCAAATACATACGGCTGCCACCAGAGCGAATGTCAGACAACAGGTTAAGCACTAAATATAAACCTAACCAAACAAAATCATCAACCACCCAACACTTCGAACTTAAAACATCCACAAAATATGACAAAAGCCTAAACAAATAAACTACATGACTTAAAAAAATTATATATGCATTACCACTCAAAATTTTGTGGAGTCAGTTATTTTTTTAAATGTTTTTGAGAGAGGTCTTTTATGCTCACCAAAGCTGAATTTGTTTGATCAGACGTATATTAAAAGCAGTAATACAGTTAAATATTATTACATGTAAAACAACTATTTTGAAATTTAATTTATTCCTGTTATGGAAAAGCTACATTTTCAGCAGCCATTACTATAGTCCTCAGTGTCACATGATCCTTCAGAAATCATTCTAATATGCTGATTAGGTGCTCAAGAAACAGTTCTTATTATCAATGTTGAAAACAGTTGTGCTGCTTAATATTTTTGTGAAAACCATGATACATTCAGGATTCTTTAATGAATAGGAAGTTCATTTAAAAAAATAATCTTTTGTGACATTATAAATGTATTTTCTGTCACTTTTGCAAAAGTATATTTAATGTCAACTACCCATAATCAGATTTTAAACCTGATTATGAGCTACTCTTTTTAGTTTCACCTTTAAAGGTGCAGTCTTTTCTGACACTAGGACGGAGCTTCATGCAAAAGTAATAGCTTTCAGTTAACAATGCCATTGTAGAAATGGCCTATTCATAGTAAGCACTGATTCATTTATTCTATGAGCAAAGGTGTTTCAAATTCTCTCATCATTTACTCACCCTTACATCATTGCCAGACCTGGATGGCTTTCTGTCTTCTGCAGAACACAAGACATTTTGTGAGAAAAAAGAAAAAAAAAAAGTTTCTGTGTTATATTTTTCAATAAGTCATGACAAAACTTTCATTTTTAGGTGAACATGACCTTTAAGGTGAGAAGTATTTAGTTGGTCATTTGATCACAAAATGGTCATTCCCATGAGGCTTTATTTAGGCTACAGATGACCGAATTTTTTTTTTTTTTTTTTCTTTAAGTCTAAAACATTTTTAATAACACACAAAAAAATGTGTGTGGTCTGGGGATGTTCTAGACCTGCTGCACACAGCTGTAGATGGTTTATTCTGCTGTTTAGCTTCAGTTTAGCAGTAGGTGAGAGACAGTCATGGCATTGAGAGGAACAGCACAGCCTAAGGCTGCTGACACATATTTGCCCTTACAGACGACACATTACGTTTGTTCTCATTCAGTGACTTCATCAACAGCTGGCCTACGCCACCCCCCATCAATGTTCATTCATATAAAATATTATTTTATTTCTGAGAGACGTCTGCCTGCCTTGCATCTCTCTCTTGTGTATTTGACAGTGAAATTAAACATTTAAGAGGAAAAAATGTGTATCAATATATTGCACCTGTGTATTATTTCTTAAAGTTACAGCGGTCTAATATCCCTTCTGCTGTTTATGTCAAATAATGTTATAAAATAAAACATAAAAAAAATAAAACATGGTGCTTTGACTGTGCTTAAAGGTGCAATACATAATATTGACAGATTAATATTGATTAATGATTAATATTGACAGCTTGCAGTTAAAATGGGAACTGCAGTCCAAATTCAAAATATTGGAGAGCACGTTTCCTAAATATGTGCATAAATATTATGTTTTTTTTATATTTTAGTAGTCAAACAATTACATACAGCACCTTTAACTTTTGTTTATTTAATAAGAATTATTGTACATTTAATTCATAGAGTGACGACTGTGCAATATTTTATTTCACTTTTGATTTTTCAATTTATGTTATATAGACGTTATACTTAAAAATGTATATTCATACTTAACAAATTTGTAATTTGCTTCTTTGTTCTTGTTTTCCTGATTGTTACTGTGCCGTACATTAACTTGAGACCTTTTTATTTATGTTAGTTAGCCTAGTTTTACTTTTTGCGGTGATATTAAATTTAGTAAAGATAATTGTTATTTCAATTGAACCATTCTCTATACCATTAGTGATCAGACTTTATGCTGCAAATAGGCCTGTCGCAATAATCAATATATCGACTTATCGCACGCAAAATATGTACATGACCTCAATAATTTTTGGTGACGCAATATATCGCCCATTATATTTACTTAAATTAGTGTCACTATGTTTTGTACATT